AATTTGTGTGACTGGAGTGTCATGTTTAAGTAATCACTGTGCACTGCAGTAGCTGTGTACTCCAGCAATACAGCTCTTAATCCTCTAATGTTGTCCCCAGAGCTCTACATCTATTGACAGTCACATGGTATCCAAGTCTGTTAGCCTGCAAAAGATGGAATCACTCTTAACTCAATTTTAAGATTTGGAAGCAGATTCTGATCAGTTGTTCTACCAGAAGGTGTGTGTGAGCCTGGCAGACAGAGGACTCTGCGTCCTGGAAGTGTGGCAAGGTCGTGCCTAGACACTGCTACCATGTGGATACTTTTGAATACAGTTAAATGTATATGTGGATGTCAGGACAATCAAGGACTGGCTTAGGCTTGTGATTTATTAATTACTTGGTGTAATTTTTGAAACTGATGTCAAATCTCTAGTGGGTTGTGCTTTTGATGTTGGTCTTGGATGTGATTCTAGGTTTCCTGATGAACCACTGAATGTCTCAAAGGCAGGCTGTTCAGCTTGGTGATGACAGTATTGTTCATGTGGTGTACCTTTACTTTGGGAATCATCTTGCTGAATTCAGGGGTCAGGTCTAGTTCTTGTTTATTTAGGAGAGACTCTACTACCTCTTTTGGAAATGTTGGGTAAATTTAATGTTTATGATGCCAAATGTTTTTTTTGGTTTTGTCTTTTCTGTAGTAAATCTATAAATACTTTTTCAAAATTCAGCATAGCTCTTTTGGAAATGTTGGGTAAATTTAATGTTTATGATGCCAAATGGTTTTTTTGGGGTTTTTTTTCTGTAGTAAATCTATAATTACTTTTTCAAAATTCAGCATAAAGTGTTCTGACACAATAATCTTCTCTAATCTTAGCAGGACTTTGCAGACTCCAACCCAGGTTCCAGTGGTTGTTTCTCCTGGAAATCAGCAGCTGCATACTGTAACACTCCAGACAGTGCCTCTTACTACAGTGATAGCCAGCACAGATCCAGCCTCAGTAACAACAGCACAGAAATTCATTTTGCAAGCCATTCCTACTTCCCAGCCCATGACGGTTCTTAAAGAAAACATCATGCTACAGTCTCAGAAGCCAGTCTCGCCTCCTTCCTCGATTGTGCTGAGCCCAGCACAAGTTCAGCAGGTGCTCACCAGCAGCGTGCAGACAATTTGCAATGGAACAGTCAACATGGCTTCATCTCCATCCTTCAGTGCCACCACCCCCGTGGTGACGTTCTCGCCCAGCAGCTCACAGGTGGTGTCCCAGCCATCGGGCACGGTGATCACTTCGGTCATCAAAGCACCGGACACGAAGCAGGTTGGCCTACAAGAAGAGGAAAAGGAGGAGAGTGACAAAGTAGAAGATGCTGAGCAGTCGGAGCAGAGATTCCAGCAGCAACCATTTGTGATGGTAGTGTCCAGTTCAAATGATTTCCCATCTGATGTGCAAGTGAAGCAAGAAAATGAGCCATTGGAATCCAATTTGTATTGATAATTAAATAATTAAAAAAAAAGACCCTGTGGATGATTATTTTCATAAATGTGATGGGACCTTTTAAGTTATGTATATATTATTTGATTCTGAAGCATGATGTTGCAAAGCTACTAAATTTCTGCAGTTAATTCTTAGAATTCATGCTTTAGGATGGATTTTGATTTTCTGTTAATTGCTAAATGTTATCATATAAATAAAATTATATATTACTCATTTTTCAAAGTACAGGCATGAAGGAACATGCTTTTTATGCTATGAAGACTTTCTCCTGAGGTTGTTGGCCAAAGTTTCAAACTTCTCTTATTTTATTGTCAGTCTGTTGCCGATTTACATTGCAGTAATGTTATTGTAACCTTTTCTGTTGAATCTGTATGTGTATCACCTTTGGAAGCAGCAGGTAGTTTTAGTAAGACAGTTTCATTCCATGTGTTTGAATTTTTAAGATCGAGTATCTGTTTCATATCAGTGAATGACATCAGTTTTAGACTTTAATAACCAGGTATCCTCTTGTATTTTTTGCAACACAAGTTCTTGTGTGTGCAAAATTGAATATACACTCCTATTGAGAGTACTCAAAACATATATTCCAGAAATGGACAATGCCATGTCTATATTTTATATGAAAACATCAGATATATTTAATTACAGAAGCTAACAGCATCACTACAGGTGCAAATATTTCATGCCATTTTGCAACTATGAAGCTTAACAATCTTGCTTTCTACTTCAGATTATTTTGTAAGGGGGGAGGGAAATTAAATATATACAATTCATGCAGGTTTTTGGAGATTAATACTGCTAAGAGTTGTTGTTTTTGATTGTAAATACTGTATATTCAATGTTGCAGGGAAGTTTTTTCAGCTAATTTTTTTCCATACAAATTTTTGATAGATACAAATAAGATCAATAAGATTATGTTTAGAGGTCTAATGTTATATGTATTCATATTACTGAGTGACTTTGTATTTAAAGACAAATTTTTAAATGATGGAGCCCATTGAACCTTGGGTCCTTCTTTTGTATTTTTAATTGGTTTATTATGAAAATAAATCAAATAGAAAAACATTTTTCTGTATTTACTCTGAAATGTTTTTTATTATTATAATGTTTTGACAGTCATCATAATGAAGTAAAATACAGTGAGAAAGAGGACAATGTGCTTGGTCACTGTGGGTCTGTGGTGGAACATGAGCAATTCACAAATCACTTCTGAACAGACTTGAATGCAGTGTGCTGTCAGTATCCTTTGAAACAGCAGTAATGTATATTTTTGTAGCTGAACTGAAGGTTGAGCTAAATGCAGGAACTGGACTTAAACTTCTCCTTTTCCATCACTTCCCAGTACATTACAAACAAACAACACAAAATTCTGAGTGTAATTCAGAAAGGTGGCTTCTATGATACAACTGACAACCCAAACTATTAGGGCTTCAAAAACTTGCATGTTGCAGTGTTTAAGCAGAGGGTAAGTTAATAATAAATATTTTGCCTGGTATTATGATTCTGTCAGTATAAAATGAAAGGGAATATGACTTTCTATGACTGAATTAATGTTGAAGTTTTATTGACTGGTTGGTAAGGTTAAATATAACTTTAAGCACTAATACTAGAAAAACTAATAGGAGCAGAAGAGTGGCAGAGAGAGTATGGTCTTGCTGCTTGACAGAAGAAACTCTACAAACTATTGAACAAGCAATTCTCTGCCACAGCTGCCGTGTTAGCTCAGTGTTTCTTCCCTCTGAACTCTTTGCAGTCAGGCTTCCACCTGCAAAGCCAGTGCCTCACCCCATTTACAGGAAGGCTGGTCATACCCACACCGGTGGTTGTTTATCTGGCAGCGCTCCCTGCAGCTGGGGAGTGCTGGCAATATTTTCAGGAGTGTGGATAAGCTTTGTGGAAGCATATCTGGTAACAGTCCTCATCCCGAGGGCTATGTTAGATTGATGGAAGCACTGGAGAGGGAAGCTATTCTTTAAAATCAAACTATAAAATAGGGATGTTTTCTTGTACTACAAGTATTTCATAATTCTAGAAAATCTGAAGTGATAATGCTTGACTGACATTAGTGTTTTTAGATACAGGGAAGTTGCTTTGGTGTTTACTGGAAATGTGGGGGGAGGAAAAAAAATTGCACCATAAGGTTACAGCTTCACCAACAAAACTTCATGCCATAGATGCAGCTATTACACATGGAAAATGATTTGTCAGTTTAGTTTATGTCAGCTGGAGAAGTGGTGGAAATCTCCAGCAGCAGACTGTTGTGTAACAGACAGTAAATGGAAATCACTCCCTCCCCATATCCCTTGGGCTTCGGTGTGCCAGCCGGGTGGATCTGTACTTTGAACTCTCTTGGATATGGCAAAGGAAGGGAGAAGCTGGAGTAAATCATAAAATGAGAGCTCACATTGGGAGTTTGAGCAACCCCTCCCCTGTCACAGCTGCCTTTGTGCCTGTGGCAGCAGCCAAACAAAACACAACAGCTAAAATCCCAGCCACTTCTGAGTCAGAAAATAAAAATTGAGGCCGCACTTCTTTTCCACACGTGTGTGAAGCCACAGAGGAGAAAAAGGCACTTGTTTATTTTTGAGGCATTTCACAGAAGGAAAATGCCATTGGAGAAGGTGGAGGAGGATGGAGGCCTCAGGCTGCCTCTGGGAAGTCCTGTCCGCCGCCCCGTTGTCCTGAACATGGGCTGGGTGCTTGGTGCACCAGCTGACACACTGAGAGGTATTTCTGGGTTTTATTCTGATTTGCACAAAGTAGGGAGCTAGGTGGTAACCCACAAAAGGCTGGTTCTCTGATTACTAGAACTTTGCTCTGGTTATAAATTTTAACTAACAAAGGCATCAGCCTTCATTGCTTATAGATTATATAACTTTTTTCCTTAATTAGTACTCTAACCCCTATTGCTGGTGGTATCATGAACTGCACCAGGGGAGGTTTAGGGCAGATATTAGGAAGAGTGAGGGCAAGCAGATATTGGGATGGGCTGCCCAGGGAGGTGGTGGAGTCACCGTCCCTGGAGGTGTTTAAGGAAATACTGGACTTGGCCTGGTCACCACGGTGCTGTTCAGTCAGGGGCTGGACTCGGTCATCTCAGAGGTCATTTCCAACCAAACCGATTCTGCGACCTCTTGGCTTCCCTCCCTCGGAGCCCGGGCTCCGCCCGGAGGAGCCGCTCGGGGCCGGCGCTCCCCGTGTCGCGCTGCCGCCATGGCCCTGCCCAGACACTGCCCGCCCGCTGACTGCGCTCCTGCGGCCGCCGCGCCCACAGCCAGCTCCTCCGGTGACCGCCTTCCCTTTCCCTTTAAAACCAAAGCTCAGCCACGCGCGCGACGCTCACAACACAACTGCGCAACCACGCAACTGGTCCAGCTACCGCTACCGCTTAACGACTGACTAAAAATTGCCGACTTGGACACAGATCTCCCAAAGCCCGAGGGGCCGCGCTTCCCGCGGGGGGCGGGCGCTGCGGGGCGGGAAGAGGCGGTGGGAAGGGCGGGCAGTGCGGGCAGGGCCGGGCCGGCGCGGTGCGTGCGGCGCGGGCGCCTCGGCGGCTCCAGAAGTTTCCCGGCGGCGGCGGAATGGAGGCGGCAGCGGCATCGGCAGCGGCCCCGCCGCGGTGAGCGCCCTCCCGGCCCTGCCTCCCCCGCGGCCCCGCCGCCCGGCCGCCCGCTGACGGCGTTGTGTTTCCTTGGCAGGTTCTCGGACGCGGACGTCGACCGGGACCCGGGGGCGGCGGCGCAGGTGAGGGCCGGGCCGGGCCGGGCCGGGGTGCCCCGGGAGCCTGGCTCAGGTGAGGTCGGGCTGCGGGGAGCCCGGCGCTGACCTGGCACAGTACTCGTGCTGCCTGTGTGGCAGAGAAGGGGTGGGAGGGGGAGAGCAAAGCAAACCAACTTTGTGTTCCGTGTGGGTAGATGATAGCTCACAGAACTAAATCAGTTAACATTTGTTAACCCCCAAGCTGATTAAAGAGAAATGTTGCATCTTAGTTTTTATTCTGGCCTGGTCTGTTTTTTTTCCTCTCCCTATATTTTGTGGGCACCACGACTGATCTTCCTTTCATCTCTACAGAAAATAATTTTTATGCAGTGAGAACGATCATTCACTGAAACACCCTCCCCACGGACATGGTAGAGTCCCCCATCACTGGAGGTTTTCAAGGGCAGGTTGCTAGATACTCTCATCTAGGCAAGCTTTCCCATTAAAGGTTAGATGAGATGATCCTTTGAGGTCCTTTCCAACCTGGCCTGTTCTATTACTTCATCAGTTAATATGTTTTAATCTGTTTTCTAAGGTAATTTTTACGTAAAACAGATGGTTGATGAGAAGACAGAACTGGAGGGTGGCTAAGTGTTTCTATTTAATTACTTGGGAAGGGAGAGGATGTAAAAGGTTAGTACTGCTTGAAGAGAGTGGGTGGTAGAACCATTAAGTGATACTAAATTACCTTTCCACAAAGAAAATGGTGAAGCTAAATTTTTCAGTTTTTTGGGGTTTAGGCTGTAGCTTGTAGAAGTTTTTCAAAGTATAAATGACATTTATAAACCAGTTTGGAATAGCCAAATCTGTATGGCATAATAAACTAATTCAAGATGTGAAAAAAGAGTAAGTTTCACCTTTTGTTGTTAGAAAAAAACACCAGCAAACAAACCAAAAATCCCTGACACTAAAAGGTCTTCAGAAGCATTAAAGAATACTGTCAGAATGTGTTTTTGTCTTTTTTCCTGGATTAACATAGCTGTTTTGCTTTTGTAGCTTATATTTCAGTGTTTTGTGCATTCGGTGCTTCAGAACATTATGTAACACATTCTATAGGCATTATTTAATTCCTGACACAGTAACAGTGGTGTCACTTTAGGCCTTGTTTTCCAGTCCCTGTGTTGAGTAGGCAGACGGGGCTTGGTGGTCTCTGAACTGCTGAGTGCCACAGCTCAGAGGAGCATTTTGCTGACTTAGAGGCTCAGGTCTCCAGGTGCTACACGGTGCTTGCATGGCTTGCATGTGGTCTGTGTGTTCATGTGCTTAGTGTTTCTAATCTGGGGGACAGTTCTGTAGAAATGGTGCTGTGTAATGCTTTCATACCTGGCTGCATTTCTGTCTAGTTGGCCTGGCATTTCTGCACTGTGTCCTTGGGATTTTTGATTGCTTTAATTCCTGGAGATTGTGCTTTGGCTTTCTGCACCTGGATCTGATGCAATTGAAAGATCATCATCCATCTTCTAATACTGTCTGAATGACAAAGCTGTGAACTCATGAATGCATTCTCATTTTAAGTTGAAAATGTTAGCTACTATGTGGAGGCAGAAGGCACCTTTAATTAGTGCAAACTCTTTACTGAATTTTCCAGTGTATTTAGAAACAGATCTGCAATTTGGTCACATGGTAAGGGCCTTTAGAGTCAAATTATGCAGAAAGCACATACTTGAGTGTGAGGACAAAGTCTAAGCTTGTTCTAAGTAACTTGCTGCTGTCCATAGTCTGGAGTTCCCAGTGCTAGTCCAGCATTACTTGGCTTCTCAAATAGCTTACAGGAGTTATTTGCTCCGTGTGTGTGCCTGGATGAAATGTGGTAACTTGCTGACAAAAAGCACAAAGAGAGAAGTTTTACACTGTAGAAAATGCTTTGCTCTGCTTTCCTGTAAGGAGGATCCATTAATATGTTGCTGGCTCTAATCAGCGCATCCGTCATCAGCATAAATCACAGGAAATGGTGTTTGGGGGTAGAGGTGATCTGTCAAAGCAGTGCCTCTGCACCTGCACGTGCCTCTGATGTTCAGTGTCAGAGTCAGACCCTGCTTGGTTTCAAATGTCAGAAGTACTTCACCTCTCAGCATAATAGGAACCAATTTTAATATGTGCATTGCCTCTCATCCCTGCCATGTGGAATACCTGTAGCCATGAGTATTTCCATAAAGACAGCTGCTTTTGAATGACTTTAAATCTCAGGAAGGCATTGGTACAAGTAGATCAAGTTACTGCTGTCTGCTGCCTGCCCCTTTCTTCAGAGACCCCCAGGGATTTAGATTCATGTGCTGTATCTCTCTAGAGCTGTGTGTATCTTACATACACATCTTGTGCCACTGCTAGAAGAAGCTGTTCTGGCCCTGTAAATGCTAGGTGGCATGCACGCTTTATGTGACATCTGTTATAAAAAGACACTGGTCTGAATTAGAGCTAAGGCAAGTCCTCCTTCTCTTTTTTCTCCGTCTTGGTGGGACGGAGTTTTGGCAACTGTGCTGTACAAATATTTCTGCTGGTTTAAAGCTTGTATCTTAGCTACATTCATGCTTGCTAGATTCCAGGTGGAAGTGTGAGTGGAAGTCAGCTTAGTGGAGCTACTGTACTGTAGCAATGCACTGTAGTCACTTTGGAAGACTGGCTTCCAGCAAAGGGAAGAGATTCTGTCACCCATAAGGAGAGAATTGGAGATGCTCTTTCCAGGTGTGTGCTTCAAGTTGCTGTGATTTTATTCTGTGTGCAGAGTCGTGAACTTTTCTCAGAGAGAGCAATGTGTTAGTATTTCAATCCATATATCCTGTGATTTCCTTAACAACAGAGTACTTTATGCTTACTTCCATTGTTCAGTAATACCTCCTCTGAGCCCTGTGCTCCTGAAATCTTTTGTTGTTCTGCTTTTGTAGTCAGCATAAATTGAAACAATCTCTTATGCACTATAATGTGGTACATGGTATTTCATAGCATCTTATCTCCACACAACTGTTCTGACGTACTGTGCATTGACTTCCAAATTCCTAATACTGCACTGCTCTCTCAAATCCAGCAGACCTGTGTACAAGTATGCTGAGAATTGTAGGAAGGTTTTTGGAATAGAGAGGATCATCTGTGTTAGACTTTATGTTTAGCGCATTTGAAATCCGACTTCCTTCACAGTAAGAAACAGTCTGCTTGAATTTGGTATAATTGGCAGGTTCCTTGTGCTTCAGGATCTGATGTTTAGCTTTGTGCTTGAGAGCTAAGCAACAGGTAAACAGAAATGCCAGTTAGCATTTTGTCTTTTGAAATGTCTCTTAGTTGACAGAGTTTGATACTGTGTTTTTATGAGGATTTCTGAAGTACTGTTTCATTTTTTTTAATGTGTGTTTACAGGAACTGACAACAGCTTTGGAAGAGAATCCAGATGATGCCGAATGTTATTGTCAACGAGCTTATGCTCATATTCTTCTACAGAAATATGCTGGTAACATCTTCAGTCTAAGAATCTTTTTACAAGTGTATCATAACACATGTTTTACAGGAGATGTCTTCAATCTGAAGCCAAATACAGTAACAAGAGAGTGTGTTATCTGTAACTTAATATGCTGGTTTTGGTGTTGATACATAATCTTGTCATTTTCTTAGATTGTTTTGTTACAGCAAAACTTTCAGTGAAATGGGTTTTCTAGAGTCCCAGCTTTCTATTTGATTCCAGTCTAGTATTATCTTGGCAGCTTTTTATAAGCAGAATTCTTAGGCAGATTTTGAGATTTTTGCGTTGTGGCTTCCATGGTTGGTAGAGACTGAATTCTGTCATGGTAGGAATGTGATAAGTGAATAATGCCTGGGAAAAAGATTGACTGAATAAGATCTGGTTTATTTTTTCTTTCCGGTAAAACCCAAAAAACCAGAATCACATTTCAGATCTGAGCAGAGTATTTAGCTAAATGAAAGTCAAGCTGCATCTTACTTAAGAGCTCTGCAGCTCTGTGAGGGATTCATGTGTGAGAGTTGTGGCTAAACTTAATTCAGACAGTGATTTGTGTGCAAGCTAAGAAAGATAACATAGTTCATCCTAGAAAAATTTACTTCTTAAAGACTTGACAGTTCACTGCTTTTTATAACATTATGTTTCTCAACTTTAAACTGACTTTCAACAGATGCAGTTGCAGATGCAAAAAAGTCTCTAGAACTCAACCCAAATAATGCTGTAGCGCTCCTTAGAAAAGGGTATGTATCATTTATGGTACTTTGGGAATATTGTGCTAATCTCTAGGTCAATACTAGAGCTTGGATTATGGTTCTGTGCAAACTTTTTACAACACTGAGAATGAATAAATTCAAAGCCATGCTGCTTGCAACCCATTTGTAATAAAGCCATTTAATTTGGGGTGATTGTCATAATGCCCTTGCCATTTTAAAACCACACCTTTTGGGTAATTTAAATTCTTACATGTCATTTTAACCAATACAGTGTGTTATTTACAGAATGTGGACTCCACTGAAAAGTAATCACTGTTTTCTTATATTTTTTTATTTGTGTCAGGTTAGGTGAATATCATATCAAAAACTATGCATCTGCTTTAGAGTCTTTCAAAGAGGGACAGAAGCTGGACAGTAAGTATTAAAGTTGATTGTGTGTATTCCTTATGGGTAATGTGATAGATTAAAATGGAGACCAAAGATTTTTTTAAAAAGGCTAATGTATTGGGTCCCTAACATCTGCTATCTGACTGTTGAGAACCTTTATGCAATCCCTGCATGAAAGTGTTAAACTGTTTAAAAATATGTATCAAAGTTCTGAACAATTAGTAACTGATTTATTTTTTTCTTTATAAATGTTTTCCTGCTTCCTGGAGGTCTTGAAGATAAATAGTAGCTATGTTGTAGTGTTAAGTGTCATAGAAAAAAAATTAATAGAGCAGGCTCTTTACATAAAGCTGGAATTTCTTCTGAAACAGTTTGATAGATTAGTCTAGATAAATAGTAGCTATGTTGTAGTGTTAAGTGTCATAGAAAAAAAATTTAATAGAGCAGGCTCTTTACATATAGCTGTAATTTTTTCTGAAACAGTTTGATAGATCAGTCCTTAAAAAGAATGTGCAACTTGGTGGGTATTCAAACTGACAAAGTGGATTTTTACCTTACATTACATACCACTTAGTTACAGAAACATATTTATTATATCTCTCTTTTTGTCTTACAGTGTTAGCTTTTTGGCTGGACTTGGGCAGGTTTTAGTTTGGGAACACTTAGAACTTTTTTAAAACCTGACTTTATTCAATAAGCAGGAAAGGAGTTGTTAAAAACAGAAGGCTTTTGTAGAACACATGGGAAAGCACAAAACAAAGCAATTACAAGATGGTTGTGACCCCTTTCTCTTATTTTCTCTTGTCTCCTATCTGCCCCATTATAAATAAAACCTTGTCCTTTCTTCCAAACAGCAAGAAAAGATGGTAAAAAAAAACACCTTGAAAGGTTATGCAAAGTGTGCTAATCTGAAAAGGATTGTCATAGTCTCAGATCTTTTCAATGTGTTGTCTTATCTGTAATAGTAGTGGCTGGGACATGTAGGCATAGCAAAAATATAATTACTTTGCATCTTCCAAATAAATTATCTAATCCTTAGATTTAAAAGTGGAGTTTCATGGAAGTGTGAGCTAGTGCTTGATGCCAAGTGATCCTGCTCCTTATTACTCTTGTGCTTGTTTAGTCTCTTCTTGCAGTGCATTAAGTCTGCAGAAAGCTACTATTTTTAAAGTCTTTCCTTCTGGATGATTATATTGAAATGGCCCTACAAAGGGTCTGAGTGCTGAAGCCATCAAAGGTGAAGTGGCAGAGCAGTGTTGGGCCAGTGGTAGAAGGGAGATGTGGTGAAATGGCAGCAACTCGCAGCTGTCGCTTTAGGCTGCCCTGGAACCGGACTTGAAAATAAGAAGTTTCATGAAGCTCTTTCTGTATTGGTAGTTTGGATAACTAGATGGTCTCCATTAATTTTACAGTAGAGAGTCAGGTTTGTCTTTGCAGTCTAGTCAAGTTCTCTATTTTGTAACTTTGAGTGGAAGGAAGAGATTCTTTCCACTGACCTATGTTGCTTTCCTTACTTGGTAGGTTACTTTTTGTACATCACCCAGCTCATCACTGCTGAATTTAATCGAGTGTCTAGTCTTTATTTTTTCATACTGTTGCCCACCCCAGGCAGCCAGTATCAATTTGAGGTTTTTCATGTGCATGGATAACCTCACATTCTATTGATGTGGAGTACAACACAGAGCTGCAGATATCTTTTTGGATAAGTCAGTGAATACCAGGGTTCTCTTTGCTAATTCAGAATCCCTGAAATACAGCACGTTTTCCTGTGTTGAATTGCTTCATTTCTACCTGTTTGAATTTAATTTGCTGTTGTTTTGCTGCTTACTCAGTTGAAGAGTTTCTTAAGCTTCCTAGCACTTCCTGATTACTCTCTTTCTAGAGATACTTTCTGCTGTGCTTCCTCTATCTCATTACAAAATTCTGTAGCCTGCTGTGAGATGAAGAGTCTCCTGGAGGCTTTTTTAAAATTACAGACTTAGTTGATTCTCTTTCGTATATTACCTAATTTGCTGGCAAGTTTGTGTCAGTAACTGAGTTTACCTTTGTGGAATGTTTCATGGATCCCAGGTGAAAACAATTGTTAGCATAAGCATTTTGGTGACACAATTAACATCCAGTTAAGTGCAGCTAAATGCCAAGTGAACAAAGCACAGAGAGAAAATTTGTGACATACACTAAGCAGGTGATGAAGAGAGACTTCAGCTGTTGCTGCCTTGGGAAGAACTGCTGTGGTAGGGAATTCTTTGCTGGGAAGGCTGGTTTCTTTGCCACACAAGTGGGCAGAAGTACTTGGAAGTACATGGATAGTTTCTGTTCTTTGCTAATGTAAAGGCTATTTTAAATCTCAGTTTGGAATGCTGACAAGGATGAGCTTCCTACTTGTGCTCATCACGGACTGACAGGCCCAGGGTACCACAGCAACGTTCCCATTACCCACCTACAAGGATATCAAAGTAGAACTTAATGTGATGAGCTGTAGAATGTACAATGTTTCTTGATTTTATGAAATAACATTAGAAAGCAACACTCCTTTTGTTCAACTGTGTGATGCATGCAGATTTTTGCAGTTCCTATTGCCTTAGTTGAAGAACAAGTGTAATCTGGTACTCTTCAGTATGCTACGTAGATTTAGGACAATTATTCTCAAATTTTCTTGGGTTTTTTTTGCTGTGATTGCTGAATGAATTTAGTAAAGCTGAACTGTGACGACTTTTTTTGTATTGTAGGAGTTATTAGATTTTAGTCAGTGAAGACCCAGGAAGGTTTTCTTAACTACAGTTTTTAGTAGAAATAAGTTATTTGGGAGGATAATACAATTTTAGAGAACAAAATTAATTTGCCTCAAATTATAAAATGTTCCAGGATGTAGGGAAAGAGTGTGATCTGTAAAAATAGGGAAGTTAACTCTGTACTTTTCTTTTTAGGTTTGCATTGCATAGCAATCTAGTCATAGGCCATAGTTAAAAAGTGAATTTCTCACCTGCTGATGAGGGAGGCTGGGTCAGGGGAGACTTTGCTTAGACTGCAAAGTTTGGAAGTCTTTTTGGTTGCAGTGCTAAGTTTTGAAAATATTGATTAATTTAGGTTTCAGGGAAGCTCTGGAATTCATATAATTCTGTGCTCTGACCAGAAGTAATATTAATTTTGAACTTGCATGTGTTTGTTTGGGGCTTTTTACTATTGTTTTCCACATATCTCCAAGACTGAAGATTCCACACTCCCTTTGTGCAGCCTGCTTCAGGGTTTGCCCATTCTTTTGGTAAAAAAAACTAGATAACTGTTAAGACATCTGGTCAGATGGCAGAAGAAAAATGGCGATGAAAAGGCTTGGGGAGTGGGGTAGCAATTTTATGTCCTAAGGTGCACCTCAGAATTGTTTATAAAACAGTTTATATTTGGATGGATTTGGATGGTTGGGGTACATTGTATAACTTCAGTGGAGTCAGGCTTGCTGTTACATGCATGTCTGCTGGGACTTTGTGCAGCCTGCTTCAGGGTTTGCCCATTCTTTTGGTAAAAAAATTTAGGTAACTGTTAAGATGTCACAGTTTATGGCAGAAGAAAAATGGAGATGAAATGGCTTGGGGAGTGGGCTAGCAATTTTATGTCCTAAGGTGCACCTCAAAATTGTTTATAAAACAGTTTATATTTGGATGGATTTGGATGGTTGGGGTACATTGTATAACTTCAGTGGAGTCAGGCTTGCTGTTACATGCATGTCTGCTGGGAATTTCTGTTGGGTTTCTTCATGTCTTTTACCTCCTAGTTAACAATGTGAATTCACTTGTAAAATGAGAAGAAGTTCAGCTGTTCTTAGTAGCTGGGCAACATTGTTGCTACTTTTTTACTTTATTCACAGTGAAAGAGTTTTTGGGAATATTGTTGAAATAAGGTGATTGCTCTGTTGTTAGACTATCATATTTTTAGCTATTTTCCAGTGAATTAATTTCTGTCTGGGAGGCTTGCTGTGAGGAGAGAATACTTGACGTTTGTCAAAAGTTGTGCAACTTTGGGTTGTCTACGCAACAGACCATCTCCTACATTTCTCTGGAGAGACAGTGTGAGACTGTTTGAAAAAGTAATTTAAAGATAAATGTGTAAAACTGTATGTCTTGCTTTCTAAACAACTACATAGGAGTTGAACAGATTAGAAAACAATAGCATATTTGTGTCAGTTAAACAAAATCTAGTCTCCTACAGATTAATTAGAATTTAATGAAATATGACACACAGTGTAGTTGTACAAAAAGACTTAAAGCCTAAGTGAAATGACAGAGCTTAAAGGAAGGTTATAGGAAATAACACGTTTTTTAGTAAATTGATACAAGTTTGGGGTGGATTTGTTCCAGCTGGCAACTGAGAGGACTTTTTCTTCATGTAATACATGTAATGCTTGAAAGAGTTTTAATATTACTGTGTTTGATCTCTTCTAGATGTAGATGATACCTTTACTATTTGGATTAAAAGATGTGAAGAAACACTGAATGGTAAGAAAAATGACGTTTCCTTAGTGAGAGATTTGATATGCCCTGTGCTTGGAAGTTGTGTTATGTTTTTCAAAGATTCACTGCTTTCCTCTTATTTAGAACAAAGTAATTTGTTCTAAAAGAAAAATGTGTTTTAGAAGTGATGTTTTTCTATCTCATGTTTCTCTTGGAGTAGACACCCTTAGCACTTTTATGCTTCATTCAGATTTATATTGGGTTTTTAGTGCAATAGTTAGCTGTGCCATGAGAGTACCTATTTAAGGATCAGACAATCATAATTAATTTTAACTTATTTTCATACACAATTGTGAACTAATTTTAACTGTAGAAGTGTGTGTCAGCTTGCTATCTAAAGCCTACATCAAAATAAGTTTTCAAGTCTTGAAGAAGATAAAGTTGGAAAGAGGTAGAAATTCAGGGATTTTGCTGCTTGATTCCATGTGGAAAGTACCATAGATGCTAATGGCTGTTCTGGTGACTTACCCGTGGTAGTTTACACTGAGTGTAAGCATAGTTTCCTTTCATGCCTTCCTGCAGACAGACAGCCCTGACAATTAACTCATCACAGAGCTGAGGCTGCCTGGGGATTTTGATGAAAGAGAGCAGAGCAGAATAACTTGTGTCGTTTTTAGGCTGAGGCTGCCTGGGGATTTTGATGAAAGAGAGCAGAGCAGAATAACTTGTCATTTTTTCCTCCTCCTGTTGTGATGTTCCCTCCTCTCTGTGTTGCACACTGGAGAATGGGACAGTAGAGCATGTTTTTGTTAATGTGTTGACTAAAAACCATATAGAGGAGAACCCTTATGCGTTGTATAGGGATGAGCAGATTTCTGCTTTGTGAGACATTTTTTGCTAGGTTTAATTTTATTTGGGGGAATTAGGTAATTGATAGGCATGCATGGTCTTTTTTGCAAAGAGCTACTTTGGGTGACAATTTCTTCTGAAAGAGGTTACAATACACTTTTATCTTTAACATTGTATTTATATTTTACAGTGTTTTGTTTTATCCTGAATATTCAGTGTCTTGTCTTTCTTGAACCATTTTCTTAATTCTCTGACACACCAGCAAAACAAAGCAAACAAACCAATAAAGGCAATAACAAAGCAATAACTCTGATTTCTTCATTGCAGCTTAATATGTTTTTCTCTTTTTGTCAGTTATTCTTCATTATAAAGAAGCAGTTTCTTCATTATAAAGAAGCAAAGGGAAAGTTTGTTTCTTTTCAAATATATTTAATCTGAAATATTTTAGAAAAAAATAGTTATAAGAGGGGAAGATAAACTGAGCCGTAGTTTAGATACAACTACTACAGTATATTTAGGGTCATGTGAGTGAATTTACATCTCATTCCCCAGTGGGAAATTTCCATCTCATTCCTCAGTGGGACTTCCCTAGCATGAAATAAAAATGTGATGAGAGCTTTGTGCTATTCCTGGGAATGGATGGATGATAAACCTAGTGCAGACTCCCAGACAGTGATTTTTTTTTAACCTATTGTTTCCTGTGATGTTGTTTTCATTAAAAAAGATCTGTATCCATTTCAGGTAAGCAAGGGAATATAATGGCAAGTTTGTTGATTCATTTAATCAGAACATGCTTTATATTAGAGTTGTTGGTTTGCACAAGTTGCTGGTTGCACAAGTCTGATAAAAAGTAGAGTGTCATTAAAGCAAAATACTGGAGGTAGAACTGATGTGTTTCTATCTCCTCTGCTGTTGAGACTGGAGTGAATGCAGCATGTCTGGAGTAACTGAGGCAGCTCAGGCAAGATTGTGCCTTGTAAGATCAATATGTCTTTTTCTGAAAATGTGATTTCTTTTTTTTTTTTTTTCCAGCATCACAGACTGATTTGGTAAGATATTTTCCTTAATATGTTTACTATTTTGACTTTTCTGTTATACTAGAGTATATTTTCTGCTTCAGTGGCTTCACTTCCAAGCTTTAAAAAGAATCGTTCATATTGCATGCAATTCTGAAGTATTTAACTTTTCTTCTGAACTTGAGTGTTTTTGAGACCAAGGCTACAAAATTTGAGCCCTGGAAACTCTTAGGAATGGTTAACAAATCTGGCAATTACTGTGCATTCATTGAGGTAAAATTTAACTTTCTGGCTCGCAGTCTGCAGCCTAATTTATGAATTAACCAGTTGTGGTTAATTGTGTTGTCACTGCTAACTTTTTTTTTTTCCCCCCAGAAGCTTGCAAGTGGTTTGTAGATGTTTTTTCTGTTACAACCTGCTCAATTTTCACTTGTTTTATTTTTCGTTGAAAGTCTTCATAAGAAATGTTGAAATTGACCTCTCCTTCTGTTTTGTTTTTTTTCTTTTTGGGACAAATAAAAAGGGGGTCTTTGCATTGGATATTCTGCTACCTCTTTAAAAGTTAACCTAAATTTTTTACATTTTGAGAATAGGGTAGAGGAGAAAAATGTACAGGAAGCATGGTGATAGTATGTAAAGACAATCTTAGATTTAGCAGGATTTTATGTTTAGAAGTTGAACCTTGAGTTCTCAGATCTATTTCAGGTTTCCTTTATGATTGATAGATTAGCAGTATAGTCACTGTATGTTTACCAGGTGTATATCTTATAGAATAAATGAGTTTTAAGTTGAACTTAATTGCTATTTACAAAATATATTCAAGTTACAGACTAACACGTTTAATGTAAATTGAAACTTAATTTGTAATCTGCCATAAATGATTCAACAGTGGAGAACTTCACCTGTAAGTTAACGTTCACACATAAATCAGGGAAGGGTTGTAGCTGAATCAAGAAAAGGGGAGCAATCGGTGAAAATGATTTATGCCTTGAAAAGTACTTCATGGTATATTTTCACTTACATTGATGTAACTTTCTTTCCAATTGAATGTGCTTCAACTAGAATATGCAGCAGCCTCTGCCACCAAAGATCAAGTAAGTTGACTTCAGCTTTACTGTGAAATTTAAAGTTGTTGACATGTTTGCACTTTGGCTTGGCGATTGGAGAAGCGGGATAATGACTGTAGGAGGTTTTTTTGGGGTAACTTCAGAAATGTGGCAGTCCAAGTGAAGTGTTACTGAGTGCCATCACTTTTGTTCAGACTAAATGGTACTTTCAGGAGGTTAAACATAACCAGGAGAGAGGGGAATAGCATCAGCATTCTGTCTTCTGTTTTCTTATTCTCATGCTGAGCTTAATTCAAAGCCTGTTACATTGTGCCTGGTATAGGTCATGTTTTTGAGCTATATTAAATATTCTGAACTAAGAAGTGAATGGATTAGGAAAGTGATCTAATTTTATATGCTGTGTTATTAAAAAAACCCTAAAAATTGTTCCTTTTTTTTTTCAAGATATGACTGGTACCAAACAGAATCTCAAGTAATTGTGACCATAATGATCAAGAATGCACAGAAGGATGATGTCAGTGTGCAGTTTTTGGAGAGAAAGGTGATTTGTATTGGTTATTGATATTCAACCCTAAATTCTCTGAGATGCCAGTGCTCAAGCCAGTGAACATTATGTGCTGCAGTAGCACAAAAAGAATGGGGAGGGAGCTGTCCTGCCTGAGCTTTTCTTCTGTACAGTTGTGCTGCACATGAGTGCATGCCCAGTCAGGTGACTTGGGATTGGTTGCCACAGCAGTGGGACTTAAACACAAGCAGTAAGAGGTGTGTGTGCTGCAAGGGAACATCTGGGTTTCAGCTGCCTGTGTGGAGGGGTGGGGGAAAAACTCATCTGAATTTAAATGTTAGACTATACATGCATCTGGAGCAGGACTGGGCACAAGCACAAGGTATTCTCAAAATAGGTATGAATTAGTAATGTTTTGCTGTAGGACAGTTAAAGAAATAGACTAGATGTTGGTGGGTGGATTTTTCTTCCATTTGGCACCACTGAAATTGTGGCAGCGAAATATATTTTTTAAGGAAGTACAGTAATCCCATTAATGAAGTACCATATGTTGTACCAATGAATTTCATGTTTAATTTAGCTGGCAATATGGAAGAATTGGGTTCTTATTCTCAACTAACTTGATACTTCATTAAATGCCAGAAGTACTTGGTTGTTATTATCTGTTTTAGGTTGTTAAAATAGTCTGAGCACTTGTTCTGTAGTTTGCTTGTATTAGAAGAGAAGCTGCAGATTGTTTTCATGTTCCATTATTAATATGTTGATATTCCATTTGTTGTGTAATTTCTTCCCTAAAGACTTAAGATCCAGCTGACAAAATAGTAGGGTTTTTGAGTACATGTAGCAAGGACTGAAATCTTCTGTTCATTTTCTAATGCATCTTAGAAACATCTTGTCCTATAATGCAGTAGTGTAATGGCATGGTCTGAAATGATATTGATTTAATCACTTAATGTCTGTATGAAATGACTGTCCTTTACTTGAAAATGGAGCTGCTGTCAAAGATGACCAGAGACGTGTTTTCAACTTTTAATAGATGAATGCATCAGTGAGACTTCCATCAGGTGAAGACTTCAACTTAAAGCTTGATCTTCTTCATTCTATAGTGCCAGAGCAAAGTACTTTTAAAGTGCTTTCAACAAAGGTAAGCTTCTTAAAGTGTAAATCGTTTCTTTGACTGTTACCATCCTAAAAATGTTTCTGTTCTATTGTCTCTCTGCAACAGTCATAATGTCTTGCTCTTCATATAGAAATGCTTTTTTTTTCTTCAAGGTGTCTTTCAGCTGGTGCGAGACTTCCTAAACTTGTGCAAATATCAGAAACAGTAATATATATGATGGTGCTTATTGAAGTGCAAATGGAAGAGTTATGTTGACAATTCTTTCACTTGTTGCTAGAGAAAGAAGACTATAATCTTCACTATAAAAGTTCAGATATTAGGAAAGCATGAATACCCTTCTACAAAACTCAGGAGCCAGTCTTGCCTGGTCAAGCATTGTTATCTTTGTGTGCCTGAGAAATAAAAGTCAGCCTTGGAAGTTCTCACTGAAATTGTTCTCTACCCTTTCACAGCTTCTTGCTGGTGAAGGTTAGCCATGTGGTTAACTGTCCGTGGCTTTTCAAGAGAGTGTATTCCATGTTGCTCCTGGACATAGTACATGCCTGGAGACACTTGAAAATGGCATGGTGTGAGAGAATGCTTCTGTCTCAGCATTTTGCTTCTTCTACATTACAAGTATAGAAAAATAGGGAACCGTGGTCTGGCGTAGCATTTCTTGTAGGCATAATGGATAGACAGACATATGCTTTGTCCATAGAGCCAAGCCTGAGTCCCCAGTGCTGGAATATTATGTTGATTCTTCTCTTGTATTTCAGCAGTGGTTCTGCAGAGCTTATGGGAATTCTCTTGTATACTCATGTTCCATTTTACCTGTTCTATTCTCAGAAAGGTACCTATGAAATGTTGCATAATTTCATGGAAGAGGGGACTTCAGGATGGCATGAGAGGATGGCCACAGAAAGTTTGTCTTGTTTTTCCACTCCTTGTACAAAGAAACCTGGCAGGTTGTGGGACTGAGCACTTCACTTAGCCCCTCCCACCGTATAGGAGCTTACATGGCTCAAAGTATGTAGAAATTCTGGTAGTCCATTAGTATTTGTATAAATTTGAGTGGAATCAGGACAGACCTTGTCAGGAACAGTAGCTGTGAGATCCAGTTTTGTTTATGTTCTTACCTAGCTTGTTATACCTTTTAATTTTGTTTTGAAGTTTACCATTACTTTCTTAGGAGGCAACTACATGAACTGATGAGTCCTGTGAAATTCACTTGACTTTGTCTTTTCCACACTGGCGTCTCTACTCTGGGCTTATCTCTGAAATAATCTCTAGCAGCCTGCTGCCTATTTTACTTTCAGGTTCCAGAAGTGGGGTAGAAGGCTTGAGTTACATTCAGGCAGTATCTGAACTGTAAATATTTTGCATTTCTTTTCGAATGTTATTGTTCCTAAATACTTGTGAGAGACTATTTTTGAAATAAAATGGGTGAGGTAACACAGAAAGTGCTCTAACTGCAGAAGTAAGGGCTTCAGCATGTCCTTACTTTTGTAGAAAGGAGTAGTATGAAGCTGCCTGTGAGGGCGTAGTGAAGGAATACAGTTTAAACCATGGCCCAGCTGATTGTTGTTTTGACCACCAGATGGAGTCTGGAAGAAAAAAAAATTAAAAGCAGCTCGATGTTAAGTATGCAAAGACTTCTTTACAGGTTTAGAATATTTTTCTTAGAAAAATATTAAGCGCTTTAAGGGAATGATGCAGCCTTAGTGTTTGATTACCAGAAATTCAGTTTTCTTAGCTTCATGTATGTACTTGGCTTTTATAAGCAGCATGGCAGATAAGCAGATAGTACTTTGAGTAAATTAATCTTACTGATTAAAACTTCTCAAACCATTCACATATTATTTTGTACTATTTACATGAAGTTCTTTTGTAAGGAATTTTAAAGAAAGACATAATCTCATTATCTTCCCAATTACAAGAACTTGCTGCTATGCAACCCTAAAGAAGTTGAGTTTTCATGGCATAGAAATGGATCTATTCCTGTGGATTATTAATTTCAGGTGAGAATAACTTTATTTGTTCATACTGCTTTATTTTGTGCTGCTGCTTTCAATGTGCAAGCCACATTGCCACAGTATCTCATAATCATCACTGGGCAACAAAGGCTCTGGCCTTTCTTTTTCACTTATGTGAGCAAATATGAGGAAACAGTGGAACATGTGAGCAGGCTGTGTAGTGGATAGTTTGGGCCCGTGAACTTTGTACAACTAAAAAAATTAAGGGATAGAGAATGAAACAGCAGAACTGGCAGAGAGTAGAACAATCCTGTGTATTTTGGAACTAAGAGGAGCTATAGAGGGTTTTCTCAATACTGCTTGAAATTCAGCATCACTTGACAAATGCAAAGGCGTGAAGGTAAGGATGCAAATTCAGGAGGAGAAAGCATTCTTAACTGTATTTGCAAACTACAAATTCTGAAGTGACTGCAAAGAGCAGACAGAACTCATAGACTCCTGAACTGGTTCTTTCAGCAAGTGTTGACAGTGGTGAAAAATACAATTGCTAACATAAGGATTGTTTCTTTCCCAGCAAGGAAATTAAAATTATACCTTTGTATCAATCCGTGCTGTGTCAAGCTCTGAGATACAAAATCTGTTTGGGGAAAAAACCGGACTAGCAAGTGTTACAGAGGTAGCATAGATGTTTTGAGCTGTTTCAATAGTTTCTATGTGAGCAAAAATAAATTAGTGTTTGTCATCTGCAGACTTTGACTTTAAGCTGTGAACTAGAAGATGTAAAATATTTGATGCCTACACAAGGACAGTATAATGTGTGGGTGAAGTCCAGTATTGAGATAAAAATTGTAAATTTGTCTTCATGCATCCTCTAGTATTTTATATACTCCAATTGTCAACGGTTTTACAAATGATACAGGCTGCCTTTAATAGTGACTCTTATCCATTATTGCCATACTTTAAGCCTTTTTTCTTTTAACCTAATTAGAAAATTTACTTGCTGTTCAATAGCTAACACTGCTGGGAAATTGAACTTTGAGTTGATTATGGTTCCTGCTCACATTTAGTAGCAAGGCAACAACAAGAGTTGCCTCTTGTTGTTCAGCATTTAATTCTGATGGTTAAGGACTCAGGTTAATGTTTGTGTTAGAAAATGCAGAATACCGCTGAATTGAGCTCTTCTCTTGCAGGTATGGTTGATTAGCAGTACAGGTGATAGATCAAAACTAGATTAATTGATTCTTAATTGTACTCATCTGTCTGAGGTGTCTGACTGTAGCAATCTGATCAAGCAAAAAGTAGCAGCTGCTCTAAAACCAGTGTAGAAATTTGAGATGTGTGTCTTACCAGTGGAAGCTGCAAACTGTATGGCATTCAGCGTTTCACAGGAGGAAGGCACCTTTAGTAGTGCTGCTTGGTTTTTTACTTCTTTCCAGAAGAGGGAGCCAAAATGTAAAGGCTGGACCAGGTTTGCTCTCTGCAAGTTGCCTGGGTGCAGTTATTCTGTGGCTCAGTGTGCATACTCTCATCGTGCTCCCTTCATAGAAGGAAAAAGGCATAAAAATCTTAAATTAGTGACTAAATATGTTTAAGAAAAAAATAGTCTTTCTTTATCTGTCAAAAAAAAACGTCAGGAAAGTAGAAATGTACAAATAGTGTAAGGATTTCTACTGTTACTAAACCGGCACAATCAGCCTCACTCTCTTTTCCCTCTTCTGCTCAGTCTATCAGTCAGTGTATTTGAGATTCCAGGAGAATATTCTGCAATGTTCTTCTGGAAACTTGTGTAACATGAGCAGTTTCTGTAGGTTTTCTGATGAGTTCAGGGTGGTGCTTGGGATTTTATTCTCCTCAGACGTAGAAGAGGAGAGTTAAGATGACTGTGTGCTTTTAGTGCTTGTGCTTATGACCTTGAAAGAAACTTGAGGTAGTGCTTTGTGGTTTTCCCCCTATCTACAGATAGACTGAGGACAATTACTGTGAGTTTTCAGTTTGTAGTGCTTTGGGCTTTCTGCAATCAGTGACTTGCAGCAGTGTAGAGCCATTTGAAAAAGTGGTAAAATGCGGTTTCTTTACCCCAGAACCATCCTTTAATTAGAGATCAGAGTTGTGCTGCAGAACGGGGAGGTGTTAGAAAGCTTCAGCCTCTTCTACAGTTGACATTTGTTGCTTAACAGAGATGTCAAGGGAGAAGCAACTCTCAGCAGCTCCATGCCAAGAATATGGTTTTGTGCATCAGTGGAATGTTGGTTTTTTCCTTGAACCAATATTTTGATTTGCAAAAGCTGAAATACCCTGTGAAGCTAACTGGAACTGATGCCTGTTGCTGAATGTAAGGGAAAAGGCAAAGAGTGGAACTGTTTCACACGCCCTTGGACTGTCATCAGAGTCTCTATTCAGAGGCAAATGTACACAAATAGATAAACAGAGGAACATATCTATTTTAACTGAAGTTGAGTCTTACCACTGCAGTCCAGTCCTTAAAAGATACTTTCCTCTTTAGGATACTTGCATTAAATTGCTTGTAGGGACTTGGCTGCTCTCGAGTACTTGTTTTCACTGTAAGAGTATTATGCAGATTAATATCTCCCATGTATATTCTTGAACATTTTCTATAAATTATAAACTAATATTTAAGATTAATGGATAATTTTCTGAAATTTCTTGCATCTCTTAGGTAGGGTTGGTTGGAGCAGTTTCTTGGGTAGACTGCATTGAAACCTTCACTATGACTGGCACGATATTTACTTATTGAACAATAAGTTTGATTTTGTGCTTTTTCTTCTGTATTGATGAAGATGGATTTGAGACAGATTCAAACGTGGTATACTCTGAGAACTATTATTTTATACACACATATAAGTCAGTGCCCATGTTTTATATAACTGCATAAAAGAAAACGATGCATAAGGGGGTTTATCTGTCTTGAGAACTATTGGAATAATGATGGTTTACATAGAGAATAAAGTGACAAATAGCTTTAGAATACCAAAACGATCTCTGTTGCTAGCTTCTCCTCTAAAATTAAAACATTTTGTGTTGGCTATGTAAATCAGTCAGAGGAAACTTGAACCTTTTCCCCCCAGTTCCCCATAGTATATAGCTGGCAAAGAAACCAAATAAATCCCTTCTGTTGCAGTATACTCCCTATAGAATAAATTTTTAAATTATCATTTGTACGTGATAGCACTGTAGAATTATTTTCATCTTAATATATTTTGTTTAAAGTTATGGACCAAAAATCTTGGTATTTAGACTACAAGCAATATGTAAAAGGTCTTTTGAATAATTAGGACACCAAAACTGTAGGCATATGTACTCTTAGAGGCACATTTGAATAGTTCTTGTATTTTTAGAAGACTGTTCTATTTTTCCTACGAAATTTGTGAGATGATCACAGAAGGACAGCTCTAAACACTTAAAATTTACAACTCAGAGAAGGCACTCAGTAGTTCAGTAAACAACAAAGTAGGTGATTAGAAACACTGAATTCCTGTTTTCAGGTGTTTGATACAGCAGAACACCCGAATTGAAAAGGGTATTTTTGGTTAATTAAAATTAATGGCTGGACTGTTGTTTAAGCTTTGCCAAATCTGACCAGATCTTGACAGAAATTTGCCAGTGGTAAATGAACTTGCCCTTACCATGGACTGTAAAATGTAAAACACAGTAAAAATTAGGAAAAAACCCAAAAACTCTTGCAGTTTGTCAGTGTACACCAGAATCTCCTTTTAGTTTGGACAATAAAAACTCATCCCCTTTTAATGTGTCTCAGTTAGACTGACACTGTCTGTCCCAGAAGGAAAGTTCAAGTGAAACTTGAACTTTCAGAGATTTCAACTTTTTAACAGTAAGTTATCTACCTAGAAAGCAAATGTTGGCTAACTAGTGTTGATCTTTACCAAAGGGGAGGAATTATTTCTTAAAACTGGATTAAACACTCTTTTATGCCAGTCATCCTAAAATAAGGTGGTGTCGTTTTATTTTTATGCTATCAATGAAATGGTTCAGAAGAGGTTTTGAGAGGAATGTCTGATAGCTAGCACTTGGATTAAGCCCCAAACAAATGTGTCCAAATCTCTGGTAGGTTTTAAAAAATTGATTGCTTCTATGACTTAAAAACTCTGAGTAGAGGTTTACCTGTGTTCTTTTACTGTGGGTGGTGTTTCTTCTAGACAATAAATCCCTCATTTGACTCTGTTCTCAGAAGGGTAGATTTCTCTTAAGATGGTATTTCAAACAAGTAGTGCATTAATTACTCTCAAAATTCCATTTGTCTTGTCCTTTTTGCTTTGCTTTCTTTGAACCCAAAACACAAGGGTCTTTAAAGACAAAGTGTATATATCTGCGTTGGGATTTTTTCTAGATCTAGTGTCCATATCCCATTGTAGGTTTACCGGTGCAAGAAAGGCACTGATGTCGTGAAGCAAGTCCTAGCAGAGGGCTGCCAAGATGGTCAGGTGGCTGCACAGCTTGAGCTACAAGGAGAAGCTGAGGAATTAGGCTTGTCCTTAGGTGGCATGCAGAGCATTTAATTTGCAGTTAAATTTTCCTGTCTTATATACTAAAGTTGGCACAAGGCACACAGGCATACGTTTTATGAAATATAAATGTTGAATCAAAGTACTTGGCAAAGCGTTGATGTATTTCTCTTGCCCAAGTGAATTTTTTTCAAAGGAGAGGAAAAAGCTAACAGTACTTCTTTGCTAGATATGACACGTCTGTGCTGATGTGTTACTTTTCTGTGTGATAGCTGTCAGTATCTGTATTAAAACCTTCATTAAAATGCATTCATTGCCATTTGTGCATGTAATTGGGACTCCCTGAGTTGTTCCTTCTAGATCAAATAGAGCTCTCAAGTTGAAGAAATATGCGCCTTCACAACAGAACTTTATATTTTTAGAAAATGTGGTTGTATAATGGTATGAAGTTAATGATTTCCCTAGCTTTGCTGCTGCCTGCCACTTCGCCTAATGAGTAACTTCACTTGAAGTGGATGTAGTAGACACAGTAGAAGTTTAATCATGTCAGAAATGCATTCTGTCTCAGTTCTTCAGCTGTGTGCACTTCCAGCTTGGCAGGGTTGAAATGGTTTAGAGTTAAGAAATCTGCATCTTACACTGGGAATTAGTTTGTGTCATTGGCTTCTCCTTAGGGCTGTTTATTGTGCAGTACTGTCTTAGGGACAGTTTTAGAGAGGAAAATATAAGGGCTAGTGGATTAGAAAAGAAGGGGGATTACTGGAGCAGCAAAACTTTGTGCCTTGTTTTCTTCTTTTTATGCATGGGCAGAGTACTGTGATGAAAGCCAATAGTCTTTGTAAGGACCCGTTGAGGAGGATTGTATTCTGAGAACAAAAAAGTCCATGTTTAGTAGCTCACATCAAGCATTATATTGCATTAGAGGTAAGCTCTATTTGAGATACTGGCAGGTATTGTTGGAAAGCCTGAAGTGTAAGGGCAAGAGGAGTTTGTGAAAGAAAAACAGAGAAAATTGAAGAGATGTAGGGGAGAGCAGGTTCAGTATCAAGCATCTGCTTCTCCCTCCCACCCCAACATGTTGGGAGATGCACTAATAAGTAGAGTATAAAATCTAAACTTTAGAGCCTCAACTGAAATGCACAACTCAATTGATAATAGAGTCTCCTCAGTTGTGAAGAGTTGATATAAGAAACCGAGGAAAGTGGTTTTAAATTACTACTCATGTTCACTTGTAACTAATTAGTTCCTTTGTAAGTAGCTAATTAACTTAAATGTTTGGCTCAGGAGATCCAAATCCACCGGGGAAACAAAACCTGCTAGTTCTGCCACTTGTGAAACTACTTGATTGTCTTATATGTAGATATACAAATGTATTTTGCTTCCTTAAGCTACTAACGGAGCATTAGATTTATTGAGTGTAGGTGCTAAGAAATGAACTTTGAGGTTCCAATTTTCAAAATGTTTTTAAAAGAGTGGAGGTAGCTTTACCGACTTCTTTTGGTTTCCTGGAGAGCAGTTCTTCTGCATAGTGGAACAGAAATCGCCGCATCCGTACAGATTGCAATATTAAACTCTGAAATACGGGCCTTTTTTAGGCATGTTAGGTTGGTCATCCAGACTAACAGCATTTTGATTTTATTTGGTTATTTTTGGTTCTGTGATGTTACTTTCAAAACAGATACTCTTGACCTAATTTGTGACTTGTCAAGTGGCTGAAAATATTGAAAAATCCAACAGATGCAGGGAGCAGGAAATCAAATACATGTGGGTGTTGGATTTAGAAGTTTACTGGAGATCTCGTCTGCCTTGAAGGACGTTTCATGCCTCTTATCTTAAACTTTTTGTTGTTCTCAGTACATGTTAGTGGTGAAAAATAAGTGTTTAACTCATCTTGGGAATTTGTAGCTTCCTGAGGGATAAAAAAATAAAAAGAAATATTCATAACTGAATATTCTGTTTCTTAAAATTCATTGTGATTGCAAACATGGAAGCAATAAAACTTCAATGAGCTAATTTTTTATATTTTGGTAAGATACCTCAGTCTGTTGCTTACCAGTGATTGATTTAACAATGTATTAAATAAAGTTCAAATTTCAGATCAACAAAATGCTGTGCAGTGAGCTTGCTGTTTGAATCTAAGGTTAGCTTTTACAGTGGTGTCTTTGTTCTTGGGTCTGCAGGGATCCCCAGGTTGTAGTGGCTTTAGGTGGAACTAAGAACTTGCTTCTGCTGAGCTGTTTGCAAATAAGGAAGCACAGAAGTTTAGCAAGCACTAATTTTGGTTAATTAATAGCATCATATGAGCTTTGTGGCATCTCCTTAAGTGAATAGGAGTGACGTTAGACAGTCCTTGTTTTGCAACTTTGTAACCCTGTAACCAAAGGAGAAGGTTAATTATGAAAAAAACATTTCAGTATCGTTGTCTAAAGGGATTATGTGAAGTTGTGAATAGGGCATGACATACTTCACTTAATTTTGTTTCTCCTATGGTAATTGCAACCACATCCATTTTTAATTGCCAGTTTTGTCAATGAATACTTGACAATTTTCTCCATAGCAGTGTTTGTTCATTGAACCAAATGAATACAGCTTCTGAATTTCTCCAGTGGGAAGATCTGCATAGTCCCAGGGTGTTTCTCTGGTTTGTGTAGTACACATCAAACATGGAATTTTTTGGTAAATGAAATGTAAACTTAGATGAAGTTGGATTTTGTAGTCTTTCAAAACTGCTGCTTATTAGAGCTGACTGCCAAGGAAGGGATGCTTGAAAGGCAGTACCTTGGAGCCTGGCAGTGTAAAGACATTGGGACTGATCATTACCTTTGGGATGCCATAATTTACATAAAGAATCAAGTGAATTGTAAGCAAAAGAAAGTTAAGTGGTCCTAAACAGAAGGGTAGAAGTCTGATACAAAAGCTGCACAGGCACATGGGAGCTTGTTGGATGTGTGACTTGAACTCAAGTAACTTCGTCTTGTAAGGTAGGTAAATTTGGCTGTGATACAGGTTTCATATTAGAGGCTGTGTTTCTAAACCCAAATGTTTCTATTTTCTTACAGCTACAGGATCCAACTACTTTGGAGCTGCATGGCAGAACTGTTTGCATCTGGATTAATTTGTTCTTTGTCTTGTGTTTTGTAGATTGAGATAAAAATGAAGAAGCCAGAGGCTGTAAGATGGGAGAAGCTGGAAGGCCAGGGAGATTCTCCTAAGTTAAAACAATTTACACCAGGTTTGTTCTCTGAACTATTTAGTATTAAATGGTTTATTTGTATTGAGTGAGTTACAGTTATTAATAATAGTTTTATGTTAAATATTGTTTATAAAATCACAGCTTCATATTTGCCATGAAAAGCCTAATAGTTTTGGTTTCACTGTGAAGAATTGACAGTCTGCAAGCCATTAGTGAAACATAGGTATTAAATTTAGTCATAACCTCTGTTAATCTGATGAATTGTTAAGGTTATATATATGCTTGTCATTAATTCTGCTTATCTGCTTGGGTCCCTGTTCTGCAGTTCTGTACATTAAGTGTGTGTGTTGTGGTTTAGGAGTGGTACCTCCCAATTCACTGCCCCATTGGGACTCTCCCAAAGGATGCTGTCGAGGTCTCACTCTCCTTTCCCCTCCCCTTTCTCACTGCAGTGGGATGGAGTTGAGAATTGGAGGCACAATGGGTGGAGGATTGAGATAAAAACAGTTTACTTGAAACAGCAGTTAAATTAGAAAACAAACAGTAACAGCAACAAAATTAATAACAAAAGACTACAAAAGAGAGAGTGATTTACATGCAAAATGCTCCAGTGGACCCGGGGTGACAGTTGACCAGGGGATGGATGGTTTCCCCCTCCCCACACCTTGTTCTTGACTGGAAGTCCTGCCCTTCTGGGATTCCAGAGTCCCTTACTCCCATCCCAGCAATGATCTGCCCTGGTGTACACTATCTTCCTGGCCATGCCCACTGAGCTTCAGCCCCACCCCTCACCACTACTGCAAAAATTTAAGTCTGTCCTGGCCAGACCCAGGACAGCAGTTGTTACGTTATGTGACCTGTTACTTAAATAATTACTGTTTCCCTAAGCATTGGATTTTGCTTGGAGACTAATTTTGCTTGGAGTTTTTCAATACAGATAAACATTCTGTCTTTGACAGAATTTGAATTTCCTGATATATTGATTTCAGATTTTTTTTAAATTTTATTTTGTTGTTCTAGGCTGCTGTTTTGGTTTTGTTTCTGTCAGCCAATATTTCTTTTTGATATCAATTATCTGTATTGCTGTTGGCCAGCTTTTTTTGTGTCTATTGGATAACAAAATGACGTAACCGTTTACCTAAAAATAAACTTCTGCATTCCTTAGTTTCCTTTATTTTTGTTTCTGCAATGCTTATATCAGTTCAGAGGAGTCCATTTGCATTTTCATGCCCTATTATCATCTCTGATTCATCAGGTACGTGTGTCTGTGTTCTCTGATGTTTGCAATGTTGTGACAAAATGCTTAGTGAACCAACATTTCTGTTTTCAGATACCCAGCACTTATACCCATCATCGTCTCACTATACAAGGAACTGGGACAAACTGGTAGTTGAAATCAAAGAAGAGGAGAAAAATGAGAAGTTAGAAGGAGATGCTGCTTTAAATAAACTATTCCAGCAAATCTATTCAGATGGTACAGATGAAGTAAAACGTGCCATGAACAAATCATTTGTAAGTCTTCATTCTTTTCTCTGAAGAAACTTGTGACTTTGCACACTGATATGATTTACTAAACTTTGCATATGTTGGGAAAAGCCTCTGTTACCAAAATTTTGGGTCTGTAAATGAATACATTTTGGCCATAGGTCTGTTGGATATACTGGTACAACTACACTCGCTGAAAGATGGCTGTACTCTGATGAATGTGACTCTTTATAAATCCAAGGTTGTGCTTTGTCACTGGTCTCTTCATTTCAATCAGTGTTACCAAAAGAAATAGAGGTTTGGCTCATGTAGAGCTTGAAGACTTGCCAGGGGGTGAAAGGATCAAATTCCTCTTGATTACTCGAATCTAGTTTAATTTGTAGCCATCACAGGCAAGAACGTGACTGACCCTTTAAAAGCTTCTTGTTAATGAAACAGCATCTCACTGTGTCCAGTAGTGATAAAAGTACTGCTGGGCTGGAGATTATGGAATGATGGCTCTGTCAAATTTTATTTCATAGGTACACCATTTTTGTGTAATCACTACTCTTTGAAGTTTGATGTAGGAACTGTGGCTTTTATATTACTGGAATGCTCAGCAAACTAAACAAGCTCTTTCTCATATTGCAGATGGAGTCTGGTGGCACAGTTCTGAGCACCAACTGGTCTGATGTTGGTAAAAGGAAGGTAGAAGTAAATCCTCCTGATGACATGGAATGGAAAAAATTCTAATCCTATTTCTGATCTTTACCATCTGTGTGTTGCCATAGTCATGTACTGACCACTATGTATGGACATAGCATTCTTGGATTCAAAGCACTGAATGTTCCCTTGAAAACAGGAATTGTCTGTACATTTTGCGTGCTTTAGAAATTCCTTCATCTGCAGATCTTAAAGATATACTCAAGAGTGGAACCCTATTTTTATCATCTGTCTTAATTTCTGGGAATTGAGTCCATCAATCCAAATTTTCTACCACCTTTATCAGCTCTCCTCTTTGGGATAGGGTGATCTCTAATGGCTGGTCAGGATTATTGCCTTACACCTGGTATTTCTGTTCAATAACTTATTAGATCTTGGCAATTTTGGGTAAAAACACTTTTCACAACAGTGTTAAAATTGTTTGCTCCTTAACTCTGCTAAATAAAACTGTAAATACAACTTTTTCTATAAGGAAGCTGCTTTATTTCATTTTTAGTATCATTTTTTTGATAGGGGAATCACTTGAAGCATATAGGTAAGGATAAGGTAAGGATGTGAATGTACTGCTTCAAAAGAAAAGCTGGCATGTATAGGAGCTAAATGTGCACTCAGTGAAAAGGATGAGATTACTATTCTTGATGCAGACACAAAACACCTACTTTGGAGTTCTTCCACCTCTGTGAGAAGTTGAACTGTAGTCACAGTTGTGGAAGATAGCAAATTTGTTGTGACTGGAATTTTTTACAGAAAACTAGGTTCTCCATCTACCTTCTAAATTCAAAATAAATTTACCTGGAATCAAAGCCAGCAAGCAGTTGCTTTAGGTTACATAATTTCTGAATAATAGAAACTGTTTAAAAAACAACTTGTATGTCCTTAATTGTTTCTATTAGTGCAACTTTATTGTCATGATCAAGTTGTAAGTAACAATAGAGAAAGGGAATTGAGAATCTATGTACTGTCTGTGCTTGTACCTCCTGAATACAAGTTTGCAGGGACCTAGAGATGCTCAAAAGCCATCTGGATATGCTCCTGGGCACCTGGCTTGAGATGCCCTTTCTTGAGCAAGGGGGTTAGACAAGGGCACTTCCAGGGGTGCCTTCCAACCTCAGCCTTTTTGTGATTTCTTGAGAGATGAACTCAGAAGGTTGTACTAAATGTGCCTTGTCTGTGTGCCACTGTCTCTTGGGAATTCAGAGATAGCCAAATGTTGTCATCATAGAAACACCATGAATTGCAAATATTGACAGCACCATGAAAGCAACTTCATTCCTTGCCAACCATTGGATGCTGTTTTAAGTTTGCTACTTTTCCTTGCTTTCCTAATTATGTGGGGTTTTCTGGACCATTTGTTATTCTGCCTGTTGTCTTTGTATTGAACGTGTTATTTTCCTACAGTGTCAATTGGATGAGCTTGGTAAAATAGAAGGGCTGTTAGAACAGGTGTTTTTAATAGGATGAGTGAAGTCTGCAGCTGTTAGGTATTAAATGATGATTGAAAATTAAAGAGGAGGAAGGAAGGATATATTCTGTTCCTCCTGAGGAATAGGAACCTAGATTTTGCAGTGATGCTGGGAAAGTGCAATGGTTTTTTCCCTGCTGGTGTTACTATGCCTGCGCAGTAGAGACACCAAGACTTTAAAATCTTACAAATGTTAAAAAGAGAGGGGTTTTTTGGATGTAGACTATGACTACAAGTCTTGACATAATTGCAGTTTCTTGATGCACTGAGATGATGATGATGCAGTGATTTCTGCCTCACTTCTGGCTTCAGAATTGATACATGTTTTCCAAAGTTGCAATTTGATAACCTTCACAACCAAATGTTACCCTGCTCTTTGGATGCAATGAACCGAGGTGGATTGGATGTAGGAAGGTTTTTCTATGCCTTACCTCTTGACATTTACTGAACAGTGTCTGCTTCTTGGAAGTTTCTCTGAGTACAAACTTGGGACATGTTTCAGAGAAGAATTTTTAGCTTTGGTGTGAGGCTTTTCTTGACCTTCAGAGAATTCTGAGTAGCTGGTTGCTCGATATGTAGAGCATTTGCCCACCCATATGGGATGCTAACATTGGAGTTGATTTGATTTGGAATAGGTACTTGAACTCCATTCTCCCAGTTAAGTGCTTTGCTGCTTTTATTTATGCACAAAAGCATTTCTTTCTTTTTAATGTAGAAGGAAGACAAATGTCTGAGTGCTTCACTTTGTCACAAAATTGTGTTCTTGTCTCTTGGCCAGCCTTGCTTTATAAATGTCATTCAGAGTACTTAACAGAGCTTAGAAAAGGCTGCTGTGGGGAGAAGCCCAGGTAAACATCTCTTAAATAGAAATTAAAAAATAATTTGAAGATGCTTTCTGCCAATCAAGTTGCTCTTACTTACTGAAGAGAATGTAGCAGAGGTTCCTTTGTCTTTCACTTACTGAAAGACCATGGGAGCATTATGTCAGATAAACACAATATATTCTTGTATTAAGTGGGTACTGTTTCACTGCTTTGAGATTCAATTCACTTAGCTTAAGGCAAAAAGTAAAATTAAATGCATTGCTACTTACATACTCTTGAGACATATGTAATGCAAATATAATGCTTTAGCTTCAGGCTAAAACTTGTAGCAATCAAGTGGTAGAGCTCCCTGTCCATCTCAATCCTGTAAACGAAGTTTGCAGGTCTAGACATAATTCCAGCATGTTTCTGAGCACTGGGAGATAATTTGTGTGTGTTCCTCCCTCAAGTTAAGGTTAATCAATAATGGCATGTCTCGTTGCCTTATAGGTAGAGGGAAATGTATGTGGGGGGGAAGAGGTGTTGTGTTTTTTGTTTGGAGGAGATTGGATTAAATCAGTAGGCAACATTTCCTTAGAAAGCTGGGAGGGAAGGTACTTCATGAACAGTATGTTTTGTTCTTGTCAAAACACAGACACACAAAATGGTACCAGAAGCTGTAGATCAAGAGAATGGTAGCAGTAGCTTGGGCATTGAATAAAGGTTCTAAAAAAAAAAAAAGCAGTGACAAAGGGAATTTCCTTTGGGACTGGGGAGGGTGAGTGGAATATGTAGCAGCACTGATAATGAGTTGGCTGGAGGAAGGGAACTGCCTGCAAGGACAGAGTGGATGATGTTTTAATTGCGTTCAAACTGTTTGAGGGTTTTTTTCCCAAGCCTTTTGGTCATCTGTACATGGTACTGTCTGGAAGACTGAGGCAGTGTCACCTCAGTGCTCTGATGTGATGACCTCAGTGATCTGTGTACTGATGGAAATACTGGAAGAGGACAGCAAGATGTAACAGTTCCCATTTAATACCACAGATGAGATTGCTCTCTGCTCCTGCTCTCGGGGAAGATGCCTGCTGCAGGTTAGGGCTGCCTCTATCATCTTTGATATATGTGCTTGTGAAAGACCAGTTTGTAGATGTGTATTTGTAAAAGGCCAGCTGAGCCTCTCAGAAGCAGATGATGGTGCTCCTGCTTCAGTCTCTCTTTGGCCCTTTCTGAGCAGAGGTTCTCTCCACCCAGACATGTCAATCAGCAATCATTGCCAACTGTAGTTTTATGCTTCACTATTTTTTTTCCCCTGCACTGCATGGAACAAGTGATTAGTCTGTTCTTCACTACAATTTTCTTGGATTTTTTTTGTGCTGCAGTAGGGGTGAAGTGTTACATGGAAGGTAAAAGCCATATTGCCCCATGACTCACAGCTGGAGGGTGAGTGGAATATGTAGCAGCACTGATAAGCCAGATTGCCCCATGACAATCTCACAGCTTCTTTTTGCTTTCTCAGTGTAGATACAAGTGGAGGGTGATTCCTGTATGAAAAAGGAAAAAGGGTTCATTTGTTTTACGTTGGGAGAAAGGAAACTTTAGATTGAGTAAAAAGATTCCTCCTGCTTTCCCATCACTGGCTTTCACTCTATTTAACTGTATGAGATTACTCCCTGTTTTCCATCTCTTTTTCACCAGCCTGAATTTATCCCCTTTTTCTGCTCTAATCTGCTCTGCCATTCTAATCCTCCTAGTAAAATCACATGGGTAATTAAGTTTTAAGGATAGTGGAACTGTGACAAACATACACCCACCTGTGGTGGGAGACACTGTTGATGACAAACTCATTCCTCTTCTCCTTCCCTAAACTTCAGCCAAAGGAGGGCTTTCAGTTGTTTTCTGCTGGCCCAGGGACAGATTCAAGGACCACACTGCTCCATACTTCCCCAAATGCTGACACGTAACCTCTTTAGTGTGCCAAGGTATTACATTTGTGATGGCAGTGAGAAACTTACTACTTTACTGGTAGTGAATAGTGTACAGTAGTGTAAGGATCACTGGCTGGTTAGAGCTGGAGTCTGAGCCACAGCTGCAGGGAATATCAGACATCTTTTCACACTGTTGTCTTTTTGGTTTTACTGCCATCCCTGTGTTGTCTCAGAACTTTTCCTTCAAAATCAGATTTTGAAGGAACAGTTGGTTTTTTTCCCAACCTTGCTGCAGCACACGATCTTTACTTTTCTCTCTTTGAATCCGATATGAAGGTAAATAGGAATTTGCTTGCTTGAAGCTTGAGTTGGAGGAGGCATTTTGTTGCCTACATCTTGGAAATGGATAAACGTTATGGTCACTGTGGCTTTTGTGGCATGGTGTGTACAGACAGTTCTCAAGATGTACATGCTCTATGTGACAGCTCTATATCCATGCTTTTTGACTTCTTACATGCTTTGTGACTGCCTATAGCAAGCAAATGATTACAAGCTTTTCTTAAAAATTAATTTTGTTAAGTATGTGTAGACATGGAAATCACCTACAAGAAAGTTGGTTTTGTGTCTTCGGGAGGAGGCTGTTATATTAGGGGACACAGAGAGAAGCAGGTGACAGGCTGCCTCAAGATGCAAGAGAGAGCAACAGTCTAGTTCACACATACACACAGTCACATTTCTCTCTCTCTGCCTCCAGTGTTTCACTTGCTGATGCCCTTCTTTTCCTCTTCAGACAGTTCTTGAACAAGTATGTGAAAGAATTGTTACACCTTCTACATTGAAAAAAGCACAGAAAGCAACTGGGTTTTTAAAATGTGTTTGTTTAATCTGCAGTAAAAAAAAGGAAAACTGACTTTTCTAAGCCTATGATAGATGTACTTCTAAAACAACATAATGATCAAGGTCATTTTCAGTTTAAAAAGCAGAAACTCAAATTTAACAGGCCTTGAAATCCCACTTTAAGAAGTTTATAATTTAAATATTTCAAAGCAAGTCTGTCCTTCAGATTAAGGGAAGGTGAAGTTTATACTAAAAAGCTACAATAGAACAAAATACTGAATTCTACTCTCATCTTATTCTCACTTAACACTTTGCTTTTTAGATATGCAGTTTAGCATTCCACATGAGGTTGTCTTTATTTTCTTTAAGCCACGATTATGTCAAATTAATTCCTCTTTTCTCTGTGTCACGCAGTGTTAATAACATTACTGGGCTTGCAACATCTCAAGAGCTGTTTAGTCACAAAAATGAATGCTCCAGAAAGCAGACTTTAAGAAAAGCTGAAGCATTTTGTTAATAAAGATGATGTAGATGGCTCCATAAACTTGGAGGTAGGGTTCAAGATACATAGTATGGATAAAGGCAGTGTAATACCACTATTTGTTTTTCAAGGCTAGAAATACTAAGTTGTTCCAGCTTTGAGTGTTTCAGCTTAGTACCTTCCTTAGACATTTAATGTGTAATGGGATCAGTCCCAATAATTGCAGTTTGCCTTAACAAAAAGGGTGAGGTGAGAAAGGAGGGGGGGGGAAAAAAAAAGGTTGTTTTTTTTTCCCCTCCCTTCTGGTAAACCGTTTCTCTTGTGGGGAAGGGATGTGAGCTTCAGCAAAGCTAAAGGAACTGGTGTGAATGGCTGCTATCCATGTGAAATAAAGAGGGGTTGTAATCTTGTGTCAAAAGTGTCTAGTTCAAGGATTTATAAATAACAGTGGCTGTTGTAGATTCTGAAGGGTCTTGAGACTCCTTGGTCTGTAACTGCATGTAAATACTTTTGCTGTAATAGCTGGATCGCAGATACTTGTTAGACACTACAGTGGTATCATGGATACAGGATTCTTGATGCTGGGGCTTCTTTGATGTTGGGATATGCAAAGGGTTTTGATTCTGCAGCCACTCACATTCCCTTCCACAGCCCCTTTTCCTGCTGTTTGTTTCCGATTTAGCACAATGTGCACTTTCTCGTGTCCCCTGGAGCAGCTTTGTGGGAAAGGTATGCTGTAATTGGTTTATAACCATTCATAGTGATCTGGCAACTCTGAATAGCAACAGGGAGCAACTTAAGTTGTGATTTATTTAAGTAAGTTACATGGATTAAAGGCACTCCCAAGTGTACAAGTTGAGCTAGTTGCTTAATTGGGTGTAAATTTTCACATATAACTTGGAAAGAGAGGGGTTTGTTTTGAAAGGCTTTATTTAGATCTATAGGCAAAGCTCTGGACTGCTAAACCAATTGTAAGCAAAGTTTAATATTGTCTTTTTTTGAGATGTCTCAGTTTTTTAATTCAGCAAGTGCTAATATACCCTTGCTTCTTGTACAGCTAATGGAATATTAACTTGAGATTTTAATTTGCAGTTGCAATATCTGACCTTGCTTTTGATGCAGAAAAACAGGCTCTGATTTTGTAAGGCAGGATCAGTACTGCTGCTTTGGTTTTAGTCTTTTACCAGTTCATTGTATTCCTGCTTATTTTGTCAAGGCTCCAGTTTAGTTATTTTTTGTTTGGGTCGAGGGATTTTCTCACACAACGCCCATGATCCGAGCAGCCCACCAGCTGCAGGGCATGATGATGCGGCAGGCGCTGCGGCAGCCCTGGTAGTTGTAGGGCCACGGCTGGTAGCCCAGGAGGGGCTCGCAGATCCGCTGGCACTGCGTGTAGCTCCGCCGGCACTCGATGCAGCACACGCCCAGGTGATCCAGCATGGGGTCAAAAGCCATCCCTTCGCCTTCCTGCTGCTGGAGTGTAAAATGTGAAATGTCATCCCAGTGCTCTCATTCTCATGGAATAGCAGAATACATCCATGCTCCTGTTAACCCCACAAAGGATAAAACCTGCAGTCTTGGGCTGTGGAAATTAACAAAACTCCCACTCAGTGCCCCATGCTTTATTATTTTTTCTTTTGTCTTGCTCTCTTTGGCAGAAGTGTAGAATTGGTGCAATCACCCTTGCAAAATGGAAAGAACAACAGGCAGCTCTAACTTCAGTATTTTTATTCTACCGTCCTTGCAAAAGCTCCAGCAACAGTAAGCTCCTCCCAAACTTTAAATATTAGTGATGGAAATTATTTCAGGACACCTGAATCTTTAATGTAGGTGAGAATTCCTGAAATATATGATGTGGTTTTTATTATTAGTTTTAGATTCTGTATTTTAATGCTTTTTACAGCACTTTTAGGAAATTATTCCTCTGGTCCCTTGCAGTTTTCTGAGGATTTGGCTCGTCTCTGAGTCTGGTTCCTTCCCTCCCATCCCACCACATTTAGATGCATTGTTGGTAATGAGAATTGTGCCTGTTCTGCAGCTGACAGTAAGGAGTTAAATGGAGCAAAGCATGCACAAAATACCTAAAAGCCTTTACCCTTCAAAACTCCTTTCCTCATTTCTGGGGGAAAAAAGGTAACCTGATATTCTGCATTTGAACACTTGGGTTGTTCTTTGCCCATTGGTGTTACTTCAAGAAAAGCAGCAGTAATGCACAAATGCAGAAGTACCAGTCAGCTTTTTACCTGAGCATTTGTCATTCATTTTTGGAAAGTAGCAGCACAACAAAACAAGTGACACAGAAAGGTGCCAGCCCTTGTCTGGGCTTGTACAGGACATTAGTGACAGCTGGGTGTTTTTAGGGACCCCAGCAACTCCTTCCCAGTCCTGAGAGCAGGGAAGATGTTTCTTTGGCCAGGATTCATCATCCTTGAATTCAGGTACTTGCACCATGAACATCACCTGAGCTCATCGTCCAGGCTCCACCTACAGTGAGTAAATAGCTCTAGGGAGGATTCATTTCCTCCTTCAGGAAAGGCCTAGAGCATAATTAATGGTGCTTGTCAGTGCAGTGGCTCGGTCTCTGAGACAGCCTGGTGACAGGCATGGTGCCGTAGCTGTTGGTGAAGGAGAGCCCCACCCTGCAGGCTGAGGGAAGTCTGATGGCTGCATCTGTCTGGGCGTTCTCCATTTGGCCTGGCTGCCCCTGGGCTGGAACAGCAGACCTGTGGCAGTTGTGCCTCCAGAGGCAGGGCATCTCAGACCTCATGAGATGGTCACGTTAGTGGCTGTGAGGAGAAGCTACATTCCAGTGCCACTGCTGTTTTACTGACCTCGTGAGAGAGTCGATTTAGATCCACTTTATTTGGAGTGATTAATTTAAGTTTAATTAAGGGATGTCAACTTGGCAGAATGCTGTCACAGTATAATGATCTCCTGCTGTTACATAAATGTCAAGTCAAAGCTGGGACTTACTTCCAGAGCAGGAGGCATTTATCTTGTGACAGTGTTGTATTAAAATGACTTACTCCTGCTGCACCAAATGGTGGGTGTAAATTGTCTGGCGCTGGTGCAGCAGACTGGAAGGTGCCTCCTGCACAGCCAGTGTTCCTGCAGCGTGGCAGAGGTGTTGGGACACAGCAGGGCGGCTCCTCTGCTCTTTCTGAGGGCTGCTGCTTCTTGAAGGGTGAGAACAAGTTTTACGACAGTCATCCTCCACTCACTGCTGCTGTCTCAAAACAAATTCTTCTCTGTCAGGTTATTGCTAGTCTAGGATTGCTTACCCTCACAGAGAAGAGGCTGAGAAAGAAATTTATTTGGCTGAACCTTTATCTCTTTGCACCCAGACGCTTCTGTTGTGTTCCCCTGTAGCAGTCATGTCTGGTACTAGTTTGAGAGCAAAGCATGTTTCTAGCTACTGGACTCTCTTCACATAGTAAATGATGGGTCTCAGCTGTCTGATCAAGACCAGCTTTGGTTTGTTTCTGGAAGGTGCTACCCTTGTCAGATCTCCAGTGCTGTTTCCATATGGATCTGGAAACTTCAAAAAGCAACTTGGCATCAGCTTGACTTAACCTTGTGACCTCAAGCACTTGTGCTTGTTTCAGAAATCTGAAACTGGGAGAAGAGGACAGAGGGAAGACATTTTTGAGCTTCTTAGGTGTTTTACCAGTCTATTGTTTCTTAGAAAAGCTGAACAAGCAAAGACTGTGCAGATTAAATTAAAAATTACAAGCTCCATAATAGCAGTGTTACCTGTCCAACACAGTCCTGAGCTCTGAAGGAAGATTACAGCACATACTCACGTTGTATGGATTGTCTGGATTAAATGTTTGATCAGTTTCTTGTCCCATTGGCCTGGTTTCATTAGCCTGGTGGCCAAGCTCTTGAGTCAGCTGCACGGTGCGTGACCTGGGGTTTACTTCTTCAGAAGCAGCTTCCAAGTCTTCCTCATCAAAGTTTGGTTCTGATTGGCGCTTGTTTCTCTTCATTTCTCTCCTCTGGTTATCTGAATAAATAATCACCAAGGGACAATCTTATCTTGTGCCTTTGTAGTTATGACACTCTTACCATGAGTGTCATTGTAGTTACCTAGTATTTCAGTGATGTCTTTAAATATTAAAAAAGGGAGAGGATGGAGGACAGAGAGAAAGCTGAGACTGGGCCTTGGCAAACTTGATGTGCATTGCCATGGGCGCTGCTTGCCTTCCTATGTTGCGTCTGCAGCCAGTGCCAGTCCAAAGCTGTGTGATTGCCTTTCCCTTCCTCCCTCCTGTCTCCTTGAGGCAAAATTTGAGGAGATGTATTTGGGGTTGTTTGACCCAGCCTGTACTCACTAACCTAGCAGCAGTTTCCAGCACTAGCAAGACCAGCTGTTCACATCTCAGGTACTTTTAAAGATGCTTTTATGGCAGGATGATGCCCTGCTTTCAAGGATATCTGGTTCTGGACAGCTTTGATACTGCTCTTTTGTTGCCCAGTGCGATATGCAAGATCATGAAGGGAAGTGGAAAATATTGGTAGCTTGGGTCCAACAGGTGCTCTAAAATGTGGTAAATTTTTTTTCACACGTGTTGTCCCACCCAAGTGTTCTGATATTAACTGGACGAAGGAAGAATAAATATTTTTGAGCCTTCTCTCCTTCTAAGCCTGGAAGTTACCTGGGGGAGTTGCCATCTTCCTGGTGACTCCTGAATACCTTTGCTAGGCTTGCCTATGGGCCCCAAGTTCAGAGCTGGGACTGCCCCAGGGTCTCATAAACCATGCACCAGCTGGCTGCCTTAAAGCATCTTCCTTCCACTCCACTGAATTCCTCTGGGGAAGCAGGACAGAAAACAGGACAGGCAATGGTCCTGAATTCCTGGCCAGTGTTCCTGCTACCTGGTGTCAGCTGTCTACACATTAAGGGGGCTAGTTTAAGCTGTTGTCTTGTCTTTCTCTAGAAGGAGGCTGACCTCTCTGGAAATACTTCATCTCCTAGCAAGTCACCCACTTGGGCTATGCAAATTGTCTGAGTAAATACAAGCATGGAAAATATCTAGGGGATAAACTCCAAACCCACAGTCTTGGCACAAACCCAGGAAGGCGTGGGTAAGGGAGGAAAGAAGTCTGGTTTCCCAGATGTGCTAGTTTCAGTAGCAAACCTGATGGAGGGAAGGCATTTAGATGAAGGGAGGGATAACATACTTTTCAAATAAAAGAAATCTTACCTTTGGGATATGTTGGTCGCAGCCAGAAAATTGGAAGATCCCTGCAAAGCTCTAAAATTTTGGGGCTTAGGAAGCTGTTATGCTTGATAGGCTCATCTGCAGCCACCCAGATAAGGGAGTTTTTGTCAAATCTCACAGGCATGATTTCATCTTCCTGCAAATAGAAGAGCATAAATCCTTTGCTGCTCAGCAAGCAGTCATGTGCCTGCTTGCTGCTAATTCTTGAGCACCAAACTGTATAATTATCCGCTGCAACTAATACTGAGCATCCTCCTATGTCATGAATGTGAAGGAATCGTGCTGAGCCAAAGCCTGGGGAAGGGCTGCCTCCACTGAAATGAAGGGCAAAGCCACTGTCAGCTTTGCTGGGGTTGTGATTTCACCCTCTCACTCCTGGAAGGCTTCTGCCCCACGCATGAGGGCTGCGTGTCAAGAGGTCTTTGAACCCAAAGCACCAGAATTTCAGGTGGTAGAAACCCAAGTGCTACCACCTTCAGCAAAGCAGCAATGAAATACCAGCAAAACCCAAGTCCCTCATCTCTTCTTATGCCCTGTTCTCATTTGACATACTCCCAATATATAACTCTATTTACAATGTGTGTATGGGGGGGGTGAGGGGTGGAATCTTGTTCAAAAGTTTTAGAGAGGATTATAGCTTGAGAACTGCTCCAGCTTCCAGTTTCAAGTCAATGTGATCGGTCTGATTAAAGGTCTTGTTTGGTAAAGCAATTCAATTGACCAAAAGCTTGAAGTGCAAGTTAAAGGATCCTGCCTTTTTGAAGTGTACCCTGCAGGTTTTTGGTTCATATCTTCAAAGTAATGTAGGAAAATGCCAGTGATTGATTCTTTAAAGTTGTTAGTTCAAAGTATTATTTTACATAAAATGTGTAAGTATTTTATAGCAACGGTGAAATATTAAAAGAAAACTAACTTTTGAATCATGAAAAACAGCATGATTTCAAAGTTAAAATTCTAAATTGCTTTCATAAAAGTTATCAAGACTTGTTATATAACTGACTAGATCAATTTATTCCCTTGAGTTGTTGTTTCTTTAGTGTTTATTGATTTATTTTGTAGGTCTCAAGTCATTTAAGTTCACAATCCAATCTGTCTACTGCTCTTTATTTACATTATCCCACTTAAGCTTTTATCAACATCAGAAATATCTGACTCTAATTTTCAGAAATAAAAATATCCTTTGTTTCTGTTTGAAATGATCCTGACTTGTGAGCAGCCAGAACGTGGGTATCTATAAAACTCATTTTACTCAACAATTTTTGTAGGTAGTGTTGCTATGATGCCCATTGTAGGAAAACAGCATATGCATAATTTCTCTTAAATACTTCCGGAATATATCGGAGAGGTGACTTGGCCTAGAAAAAGAAATACTACTTTGCCATTCCTGTAGTACATCTGGCCTGGAAAATCGAGTGACAGGGAAAAGTTAATGTCTTAGTGGTAGCACTAAGCTGCTTGGTGCATGTGATTCATTGCAACAGCCACATAGGTGATGCATCTGGGGAGAAGATGCACAAAAAACAGGACAAGAAATAGTTTTACTGTCAGCAGGTAGAACTAGAAGTAAGTGTTTGATGATTTAGGATAATGTCTTCAGGTCTCTGTTTTTACAAAAAGCTGAAAAATTCAATCTTCAAGCAATAGTGCTAATTAAGTCAAGGCCAGCTGCCTTTAAAATAAGGCAAGGCAGGAAAGATGGAACTCTCTCTCAGGAATTCATGCAAGTTCTCTTTCCCATCATGGGGAAAATCCTGTCAGCATCAGGAGGCTTTGTAACATTTGTCAGCTTTTCTGACTCTATTGAGAGTGATCTTTTTCCCCTTAATCTTAAAGCAGATGTTCAGGAGTCACAGCACCACTGCAGGGAGGTGCAACCTTAACAGCACCTCTCTCCCTGCTAATTGTATCTTGCTTTTGTTCTCCCAGGAGCAGAGCAAACCCAGGGAAAAGGGCTGTGGATCTCCTGTGCTCTCCTGCCAGTGACTGAGGCTCCAGCAGCATCCAGGCTCAGCTGGACTCAAGTCGCTGGAGCCACTCCTGTGTGAGCAATAAGTCTGGGGTCTGAGCTCTGGGAAACTCAGGCTTTGAGCACATAAAGCAATCACCTTCTTGGGCAAATGTGAGGTTTGGTGGTATCAGGGTGAGAACTGCAGCTTCTGTGCTGGTTGGGATGCAAATTCTCGTTAACATGTAAAATTAAGTTTTACACTAAACAGGTAAAGTCATATTTTTTAAAAGAAATTATTTCTTATGAGTTATTTTAATTTTTGCCATGTTTTCCACAATTCTGTCTTACTGACTAGAGTGATGGAGTTCATGCTTGTGCTCAAGAGCATTGATGATTATCTCCTGGGATCTACCACAGTCCTTTGCATTGACTACTTCCATGCCCTCCCTTCCAGCCTTGTGCACAGCCTGGTCTCAGGCAGGTGCTCTTGTCACAGAGATCTCCAGTGGTTCTGGCAGAAATCAGTCTGTGGCTTCCACACTCACTAATCTGCAGCCTCTCACCGTGTCCTGGACACAGTGACATGTCTGACACCAATCTTGTTTTTCTTACCTTTCAACCTTTTTTACCTTTCAACTCCTTGCAACCAGTCAATGAATCCTCAGCTATCCTACCCTACGTTTAACAACCCCACCATGAGCCAGAGTGGCTTCCAAATGCCATTTTAATTTGTATTTAAGTACGTCCTTTAAGCTCTCTCTATACAAAGATTAGTTAAAAAAAAATGAACTACCCCTTACCAGCTCAGATGAGAGGCTCGCTTTAGCCATAGCATCAACTTCAGGGATGTGGGCTTTTGGCTGAGCTTTGATGTAACACTTTTCTCCTTCAGCAAAACGGATCCCAGTTATGCCCTGCAAAAGCAGAAGGCAGGGGGTTGTGCACAGGCCTCCAGCTCCTCACCACCCCCAAGAAAGTGCCTCAGCTCTGCTAAAATTGCCACTGAGTTTTCAGTCTGAAGGTTAACCTTGTTTAAAACCAGAAGCAATAAAACGCTCTTCCCTTCATCATTTTAGCTTCACAATTTTGGTCAAATTGGTCTAGAAGTTTTTGCTTGATTTCTGAAAGTGGGGGGGTGTTTTATGTAAGTGTTCCCATGCAGGCTGTAGGCTACTTGGAGTACCTCTGTTAAGGAATTAGTTGACATGATTTGAACTGTAACTTAGTACCTAACGTAGGCAGTCTTGAAATTGTGCTAGCTGGTGGCATGGTACCCTTGTGACACAGTTTCACAAAAATGTGGGGGCAGTTTGGTTCAGTCTGTACAATTACGTGACTGTGACAGCAAAGGGAAGTTTGTGACGGACAGGTTGGTGCAGAAATCTGTGTGGGACTTTGTCTGGCCTCCTAGAGTGAAATGCAATTGCATAAACCATAAGTGTTTAGTTTTAAGCAAGAGAAGGAGCAAGTCTCCTGCAAGTCCTGGGATGTTACCTTCCAGCCCTGTGCCAGCACCTTGGGCATCAACATCTTTCCATTGTAGTTTCTATGGTTCTACTGTAGGTTTTGGGTATCCATAAAAGAGCTCTCTTCTACATTATAAATTTAGCTAAATTTAGATTTTTGTGTTTTTCATGTGGTTGCAAAAGCTCCAATCAACCACCTAAATATAATTACCTAGTGCCCTTTAAGTTGTGCTGGTTTTCTGCCTGGCCTCTAGCTGCCAGGAGAAAGGGGTGTGGGTGTCAGCATGACCCCTCTCATCTGCCTTGAAGGGGTATCATGGATGCCTTCGTGTGCAATTTTGGGTGCCACACTGAAAGATGTTAAACTGTTAGAGTGCGTCCAAAGGAGGGCAATGAAAATGGTAAAGGGCCTTGAGAGGAAACTGTATGAGGGAGGAGACTGAGGGGAGACCTTGTTGCAATCAGCATGACCCCTCTCATCTGCCTTGAAGCGGTATCATGGATGCCTTCATGTGCAATTTTGGGTGCCACACTGAAAGACATTAAACTGTTAGGGCGTGTCCAAAGGAGAGCAATGAAGATGGTGAAGGGCCTTGAGAGGAAACTGTATGAGGGATGGCTGAGGAAGGAGACTGAGGGGAGACCTTGTTGCAGTTAGGGGAAGAGGAGGGGCAGACACGGATCTCTCTGGTGAAAATGACAGGATCCAATGGAATGGCCTGAAGCTGTTTCAGGGGAGGTTCAGGTTGGATATCAGGAAAAGGTTCTTCACCCAGAGGGTGGTTGAGCACTGGAACAGCTCCCCAGGGAACTGGTCACAGCACCAGCCTGACAGAGACCAAGAAGCATTCAGACAATGCTTTCAGGCACATGGTGTGACACTTGGGGATGGTCCTGTGCCAGGAGTTGGACCCAATGATCCTTGTGGGTCCCTTCCAACTCAGCACATTGTGATGTAGTGCAGCATGAGATGGATGACTGGGGCACCTGAGCCAAGTCCTGTGTGTCTGCAGATCCTGTATAGCCTTCACAACAAAATGACTACAAAAAGCAGTGAGAGAGGAGATGGCTATGCAAGGATGGATGCATTACGACATAAGGCTTTGTAGTGTACCAAATGTCCAAGAAGCATTCAGACAATGCTTTCAGGCACATGGTGTGACACTTGGGGATGGTCCTGTGCCAGGAGTTGGACCCAATGATCCTTGTGGGTCCCTTCCAACTCAGCACATTGTGATGTAGTGCAGCATGAGATGGATGGTACTGGGGCACCTGAGCCATGTCCTGTGTGTCTGCAGGTCTTGTGTAGCTGCACACGCCCCCTTCACAACAAAATGACTACAAAAAGCAGTGACAGAGGAGATGGCTATGCAAGAATGGGTGCATTAGGACATAAGGCTTTGTGATGTACCAGGTATTCTAGGAATACCCTAATATTGCCAAATCCAAGCCTTCTCTGACCATGCAGTCATTCTGGCAGTGCCAGTCAATCTAGAACTGCTAATGTAAATACCAGTCTGTTGGAAGCACGTCTCTTCAGTTGCTCTCTCCTTAGTGTGCATTCTTGGCTGAAAATCCAAGTGGCATCATCCTTTTGCTGAGGCTGTCCCAGGCCCTCTGTAATTACAAGCAGGCACCATCCCTGGGAGGTCCCTTGAGCTGGTTGGTGTTAGGAGCTGATTCATAACCTGGTTGTGACAGGCAGTATCTCACCAGCAACACACGTGGAGGAAACATGAGTTCAGCATCTCTCCAGTGGACTGGTGCTTTTGTGCAGATGTGAAATGGCAAATGAGAAGGGCTCGCTGTGGATGCTCCTACTCAGCTGCTAATAATGTTGCTATGGTGATGCTAATGAGAGTTGCATAAAGGCAGAACCACAGCTGTTGGGAAAGTTGGGGTCCAGCATCTCCTGGCATGGATTTGTTTGTTCTTGCTGAAAAGCCAAGGAGCTGGATTTTCTTGCCTTTCTAGATCCAGCAAGGGAATGGTGGCTGCTCCAGAACCAGAGATGCTTCCTCGCAGCAGTATCTTTGTTTTAGGCACTGCTTGGACTTACAGAGGGCTTAATTCTGAAGTTGAGTGTTTTGCACTTCAGAACATTTAACTGCAGGCTCTGGGCCCTGTGAATGGGTTTGTGCAGCATCACATAGATGTGCCTTAGTAGCTCAGGGCAGCTCAGAGACCTACTCTATCTGAGCTGCTGAGCCCTGCTGAGGTTTGGCATCTGTTACTCCAGGCCCTGTGCTGAGTAGCCACAAGTTGCTGGGGTGCTGAAGTGTGTTTGCTGTCAGTATAAGTGGCCCAGCACCTGACATTTGGTGCACAGATACATCAATGGGGATGAACCCAGATCAAGCCATGGAGAGCAGCTCCCATCCCTGACCTCAAGGCAAAGGAAGCTCCCCAAGTCAAGCACTGCAGACTTGGTCTCTCCTTGGTGTCTCCTTGGCTTACTGTATTGACCCTCTGCTCCTCAAACAAGTTTGGGGGAGGTGTTTGTGCAAGTTCACACCACTTGAAATCAGGTGAGGGTTGTGTCAAGCCTGACAGAATGTTCTTCCAGTAGGACCCCAAGGTCATATGTCACATTTCTGCTCAGTGGTTTGAAAATGCAAAGTATTTACATGGAGTCAAACCTGACGCAGCCTAATCCACACCACTTCCTGGAGTGGTACCTGGCATGGCTGATCTCCAAAAAGCACTTAGATTTTTGTGTTGGAGGAAACTGCCTGTCTCCCTAGGAATGCAAGCCAGGAGAGCAAAAATGTCTGTGTGCATGGTAACCTGAGGCTAAGTGGGGCAGAGAGGTCAGGGCAGAACAAGGTGTCCTTAAGAGTCCAGCACTGGAGTGTGTTACATGAAGGACAAGAGTAGCACTACTTACGATCTGAAAATCATGGACTTCAACTGCCTCTTCACTCCCGCTTCCTGTTTTGAATGTCTCTAAGTTGTTTCCAGCATCTATTTCCATTGATCCATCTTGTACTTTTCCATTAATGCTCATAGTATAGTGAACGTTGTACACCTGGAATCAATAAAAGAGCGGTAGCACATGCCAGTAATTACTTATTGCCTTCCTCCTACACCAGGCAGTGGGTCAAGCTGACTCTCATATCCCTATTTAGCTCCTAAATTTTGCTGCTGCAGGCATTTGATAACCCTCCAACAACCAACACTGCACTACTTCAGCATTAGGGCCGGCTGGCAGTGGGGCAGCCAGCCCTGAGAGGTTGTTTGGCCTCCATCCTTGGAAGTTTTCACAGCCTGACTGGATGAAGCCCTGAGCAACCATCTCTGAGCCCACAGCTGTCCCTGCTCTGAGCGTCAGGTAGGACTGGAGTCCTGAGATCCCCCTTCCAGGGAGTGCTTATAGTTTTCCTTCAAAACCAGTGTGGGGTGAGTCCACACCCATGTTCACTCTGACCTAAAAACCTTCTTCTAGGACAATTTAGGAATTGCTTGTTATGCTGGCATGATTCCCAAAGGACAGCAGGCGCGAATGTCCTACTCTGAAGGAGGCCAACCTCTGTTTATCTCTTAGGATGTTCTGCTGAGGCACAGGAAAACAGGTTCCTCTTGAATACGAACACACTTCCCAGCTTGTAATGGATGTGAACTTTGTTTAAATTGGATCTGAAGTTGTATAGGCTCGTATTTTCCTTGTCAGCGTATTTGCCCTTATCCTATTTTCAATGAGGAGAGCTACAGCGTGGTTTGTATTTGCTGGAGAACCACAATCTGTGGAGGGGTTTTGTGATTCTCCTGTGCAGCTCTGCTAAAAGTGCTGCACAAGCAGTTTATTTTGGGTCTTAAAAAAAGCCTTTACAGCATTTTAATGAAAAATTTACACTGACAGCTAGAGACAAATTTCTTCTTCTGTCACCTTCGCTCAGCGAAGTCTAAGGTGCTAAAGATTTATGGTTCCTCAGTTATACACAGCCACTCCCATATTTCTGCTTTCTAGGACTCCTGTTGAACATGGTCCATAAAACCACACCACTGTATGTGGTCACCCCCTGATAGGGGCTGAGCTAGAGTTGAGACTTTGATACCCCTGTCATCTAGGGAAGAATTTAAAGATATAAAATAAACCCAAGAATTAAAAAATTAGGTTTTTTTAAATTAATGACTCTGGATATAATTTTTGCAGTTGCTTCCTAAGCATTTGCAACTCAAGTGCAGTTTTCTGAGTTTGAAGGCAGCTTGGAAAAATAACTCTCAGCTTTCCCAGTGTCTTCACCAGGAGAGCAACTTTGAACCTTAATGGAAACTATGAATGTGACATATTTTGTATGGCTAAATTTAGATGACAGGAGCATTAAAAAATTTTCTTGTACTCCACAAATGCACCCACCTGCTCAGAGCTGAAAGCACTGTCCCCTGCCCGTGCCACCATTTGCATCCCTCTCCCTTTGCAACAGCCTTGCTTTAGAGAAGCACACGGTTCTTGCAGCACGTCTTAGAGGTCAGCAATGTGTCCTGTCTTTTTGCTGTAAAACCTTTTCTTTCTGATTATCTGAATTATCCTTATGTGTAGGGGTGTATCTCACAGGGCCACCTTTGCTCTGACTCCTGGAATTCACACAAGGCTCTCCTTGATGAGGGCTGGCGTGTGGCCAGAGGCAGTACAAAACTTCTTCCAAAGTAAATTCAAGGGTACTAATTTAATGTATGGAGAAGGGTACATTCATGTGTGTACCATCATGTTTCAAATATGTTTCTTTCTGTTTACACAAATTCTGTGTAAACAGAAAGAAAAGTTAATCTGTAAACATGTTCTAATGCTCTGAAGTTTGGGTCTTTAACTCATCACCAGCTTCTCAGTTTCATTCTTTGCATAAAGTGTTTCTCGTGTACCCCAGAAACTGTAAATAATAAAACTTAACTTTAAAAATTGCTCCACAGCTGCAAACCTAAGTGTATGCACAGTCCCACAAAGCACCAGCACGAATGGTGCCTGTTAATGGGTTAATTATAGCATTACATACTTGAGGGTCCAGGTAGAATCTGGACTGAGAATGCAGATGCTATGAAAAAGAATTTACACATTTCAATGTTTTTTTGTCCTGAGAGCTGGAGTTTGCCCAGGATGTGAATCCCTGGGGACTTGTTGGGGTTTGAGTTCAGTGAGGATTTGTGAGCAGAAATCAATGTAGAGTCTGTGCTCTCAAAGATGTGTTTCGTCTTCACTAATAAATGTGCTTCCAGGAAGCTACAGCCACCAAAGACAGCGATTATAGGTTTGGGGTTTTAGGTGTTTGGGATTTTTGAAAGGAAAAAAACCCACAGGTCTGCTTAAAGACCTCTTTATAGACCTCGCAAGGAGCGCTTCCAGCCCGTGCCTGTCCGGAGGTGCGAGAGCTCCCCGCCCACGCGGCCCCGGGTGCGGAGCTGCTCACCTGCCGCTCCGTGGCTTTCCAGAAGTAGAAGGCGCCGATGGCCCCGGCCAGCAGCAGGAGCGCCCCGGCGATCAGCACCACGGCCCCGGCCTTCAGCAGCCGCCCCGGCCCGGGGGGCGCGGCCGCCGCGTACGCCTGCGGAGAGCGCGGGTGGCGGCAGGGACAGGGCAGGGACCCCCGGCCCGACCCGACCCGTTTTGTCCCGGTCCATCCCGCAGCATTGCGACCTGTCCCGGCCCCACCCGTTCCCCACCGTCCCAACCCGTCCCGTCCCGTCCCGACTCGCTGGGTCCCGTTCCATCCCGACTCATGCCCACACGCTTTGTCCCGATCCCACCCTGTCCCGCCCGGTGCCTGCCGGCAGCACTCACTGGGGGCAGGCACAGCTCCACATCGTCGGGCCCCACTCGGGCGATCGGCACCTTCTCGGAGCCCTCTGCCATGGCTGCCGCGGGAGGGAGAGCTGCCCGGCCCCGGCCCCGGCCCCGGCCCCGGCGGGGCTGCACCGCCCCGGCCCGCCCCGCTCGCGGCCCCGGCCCCGGCCGCGGGGAGGGCAGCACCGCCCAGCCCCCGGCACAATGAGCCCCTTGAGCTGCCCGGCAGCCGGCGGAGCTCCGCGGGGCTGCCCCATCGCCGTCCCCTCCAAGCGACCCCGGGGTGTCGTCTCCAGCTTCCCCCGTTCCCGAGGGGGTCGGGGGTGTAGGGGACACGCACCCCCCGTGGCGGAGGAGAGGGGTACCCCGTCAGACAGACGGCCGTCATGAAAAAAAATCTTTTAAAATAGAACAACGTGTTAACTGATTTTTTACACTTGCCACAGGAATTTACAGGCGCTGGAGCTGACAAACTGCTGGTCGGTGACTGCCCCACAAAACACCTCGCTGACTGGCACAAGACAACAGCCTCCGGCTGAGCCCCGTGTCCAAGCTCGACACAACCATGCTAGTATTGTACATGGCAAGATTTTAAAGGCTACAGCTGGCTATGTGTGTCTGTCCATGTGTCTGTCCATGTCTTCACACCCCTTATGGATGTCCTGCCTGTCCTGTGTGTGCATGCTTTGATGCTGGAAAATAAACTGTGCTGGATCCCTTTTGGACTGATGGTGTAAAACACAAAGCACAGCATCCTTTGTCAGGCTGGAAACCGAGACACAGCAGCTGCAAAAGGAGTGTGATGGGGTCTGAGTTGTGCCCCGTCCTGCCCTGCCCTTCTTGCCCTCCTTGCTCCAGTTACGCAGACAGGCAGCAGTGGGGGGTTTCACCTGGAGAAACCCTGCTGCATGGGGCCCATCTCACTCCAGAACAGGGACGACACCAACCAGCTCTGCTGCAGCAATATTTTTTTTTTTTTCAAAGTACTTGTCTCTACTTATTTTTTCTCTTCCCCTTTCTTCTCCATTTTGCTCATCTGGCAGGTTGTTCAGTTATTACACACTACTGACATGTTCCCCCTGCCATCTTAGAATTTCTGGGATATGGATAGTGGATGACCTTGTCCCACCATGGCTCATCCCACAAAAGGAAAGTCTGGCCCCCACTGCTGATTGCCTACACCTGACTCTCCTCTTTCCCCCACTCCATAACAGCAAAAATCTTTGTTTTTTCATGTCTGAATCCCCTTAACTGAGTTAACCAGTAGTTGAAAACCCATCATCAGGTGCTGCAAAAGCAGAGAAAGCTCAGGCTCTCCTGACCACCTTGTGTTTGCTTGCTTGGGGACTGAATCCCAGAGACATACAATTCCCATTTTCCTCCCCTTCAACCTAAATTCATCCTTTCCGTCGATTACTGTCGTCAATGATCAGACTTTCAACCAGAATTTAACGGGCATAGTTGCTGCTGAAAATAAACACAATCACAGCTCATTAAATCAAAAGCAAAACCCACTGTGCAACTTCCTAAACTAGGACATATTCCAACCCGCTCTTGAATGACATACTGTGGTAGTTCGGGCTAATAATAAGATTATGATCCTCTTCATTAGCAAGTATTTTGTTACACCAAAAATCTCGTGAATGGATATGTCTATCTTGGCAAAATGTGAGAATCCCAGCCTTTGATCTCAAACCTTCATTTAGCATCTCTGCTTTAAAAAGACAGATTTATTTTAAGGTCCCTGTGCTTGTCTCCCATGGGAAAATGTGCCAGGGAAGGAGTGCTTGCCCAGGAAGAGCTGCTGCTCACTGGGGTTCGGCTTGTTTGAGCTGCTTCCCTGGGACTAAGGAGAGAAGCTGCTGTCCCTCCCATCCTGGCATGAACCTGAGTGCCCAGTGGCTCCTTTCTTGGGAGGTGACTGGAAGGACAGAGGGAGGCCGAGCTGTTTTGTCAGGCAAAAGTGTGGCTGAGGCTGCCCTGACAGGGACTGTTAGCAAAGACACTACCAGTGCAAGAATGAATGGGTGGAATTCTGTGCTGGATATTCATGAAGAGGCCTTCACTCCAGTGCTGTGTGCTGAAATGCAATATTCCCCCTGGGGCAGAAAGGATAGAGTGGGAAGGCTCACCCCCACCCTACGGATGGGGCAGCAGTGGCCCTGGCAGGTTTTGGCATGGGGAGATTTGAGCAATTCCAAGCAGTGGTGCCAGCTGCAAGCTGACCCACAGGGATTGGTGCCTGGCTGCTGGTCCTTGCTGGCTGTGGTGTGAGATGGGTCCTGCTCGCCTGGGGAGGTGTGGGTGGGAGAAGCAGTCCTTTGGGAGGGAGCTGTTCTGCCTAAACCCTGGGAAAGAAGCTGTGCAGCATTTCCTCCTCAAGTCAAGGTGCAAATACCCCAAGTAATCCTCCAAACATATTTTTCTCATGCAGGGAACAATCCCAGATTATTTTTTTTCCCAATTCAGAGCATCACTGCCTTTTCTTCTTTTGTTCCATAGGCAGAGGAAGAGCAGCATGAAATTTCAAGCAGTGAAAAAAATTGCTCCTGTTACAGGGTTCACAGCTTACCACCTCTAGCTAACCCCTATGCTCATGCTTTGCCTTTTGTGTGGGCACAGAGCTGCTTTCCTTGGAGGGTGCAGGGAGTGCATCTTTCACTGTTTGATTGATTAGGTGACAAGAGAGAAAACAGGAGTTTTTAGACAGATGCAAATCTGTGCAAACAGCTCCACATTCAGCAGCTCCAGACTCTCGCTGCAGAGTGCAAAGACGATTGCAACAGCCACTGTTTGCAGGGCTTAGGACAAAAAAAACGTGACTTGCCTTTCACTGGCTGAACCCTTCATTTGCAATAAAGATGATGGTGATAGCAGTGTCTGAGCTCAGTCTCCTCTCTAAATAACATGTGTGTGCTCAGCTGGATTAAGCCAACTTCTGAGACTGGAAATCATAATAACAGTCTTTTACAGGACAGCCTTTCTGGTCGTCTAATACTATTATCCTCTGGGCTGAAAAGCATTCCAGAGCACTTGGAGTGCTACGATGAATGTGAGGCTGTTTAGCTGATAGTACTGGCTTGTCTCAAGGAAGCACATTTTCTCATTATTTTCAAGTTTAAAGAAAAAGTTTAGAAGAAGAAATAGAAATATTAAAAATGAGAAGGATTTGGTCATGCTGTGTGCTTTTCTGAAAGTCTCTTGTGGTGCCTTATGCATTTCATCTTCATTTTCTAAGTGGTCTAAATAGTTGTTTGAACTCCATTATGGCCTGAATGAAAATGTGTGAAGGTTACTGAGACTGGGCTCCTGATTCACTGCTCTGCTTTTGCTTGGCTTTACATCACTATAAGATGGTGCCAATTCAGGTTCCACATACCTGATGTCTCTTCAATAATAACCAAAACCCTTGGAGGAAAAAGTCCTACAGAAAAAGAAAATATTTGGTTTGGTATTGTGGTGGGCTAATCCTGGCTGGATGCCAGATGCCTGCCAAAGCTCCATCACTCCTCTCCTTAGAAAATATTTGGTTTGGTATTGTGGTGGGCTAATCCTGGCTGGATGCCAGATGCCTGCCAAAGCTCGATCACTCCTCTCCTTGGATGGACAGGGGAGAGAAAATATAACCAAAGGCTCATGGGTCAAGATAAGGACAGGGTGAGATTAGTTTGATTTAGTACAATTCAAATCAAAGTAGGATGATGAGAAATTAAACCAAATCCTGAAAACATTTTCCCCCCACCCCATGCTTCTTTCCAGGCTCAACCTTATTTCCAGTTTTCTCTCCCTTCACTCCTGCAGTGGTGCAGGGGGACAGGTAATGGAGTCTGTGGTCAGTTCATTACATGTTGACTGCTGCCCCTTCCTCCTCAGGGAAAGGACTCCTCAGACTCTGCCCATGCTCCAGTGTGGGGTCCCTCCCATGGGAGACAGTCCTCCATGAGCTTCTCCAGCATGAGAACTTCCCATGGCTGCAGTTCTGCACAAACTGCTCCAGCCTGGGTCCCTTTATGGGTTGCAGTTTTTCAGGAACGGGCTGGGTCCCCCACGGGGTCACACGTCCTGCCAGCAGACCTGCTCCAGCTGTGCTTCTTTCTCCATGGGGCCACAGCTGCTGCCAGGAGTCTGCTCCACATGGTCACAGACTCCTTTTGGCATCATCTGCTCCTGGAGTACCCCCTCCCACTCCTTCATGGACTTTGGTGTCTGCAAGGCTGTTTCTCTCACACATCCTCACTCCTGTCTCCATTTGCTGTTTTGGCAGCTTTTCCTCCCCTTTCTTAACTCTGCTACCCCAGAGGTGCTACTGCTGTCCCTGATGGGCTCAGACAGGGCCAGCGGCACATCTGTCTTGGAGCTGGCTGGCATCAGCTCTGTTGGACACTGGGGAAGCTTCTGGCAGCTTCTCACAGAAGCCACCCCCACAGCTCCTCTGCTCCTAAAACCAGTTATTTAACTTGTGACAGCCTAAGAATTTTGATAAACTCTAAAGATTCTTGCTGGGAGTGAGGCCAAAGGATGAAAACCCACGTATGTTTGTCGTCATCACGGTGCTCATCTCTGTGGTGTCCCTGGACACTGCTGCTCCAGGGCTGCTCACTTTGCCTCCTCTCCTCCCCCACTGACATAGTCCTCCCTTCTCTGACCAGCAACTCATGAAATTTCAAACACCAAAAACATTGCTATTCCTGGTAGGCTGTGAAATTCTCCCTGGAAAGCCCTGCAAGGCCCATGCTCTGATGCTACTCTCTGGAGAGGACGAGCATCCTGGTTTGCCTGCTTGGGACACATCTCCAGCAGGACAATCCAGTGCAGCTGAGATGGCCCCAGGATGGCTTTAAGCATGCTTGGTGCAGGATCCTGCTCATCCCAATCCTCCCTCTTCTCTCCTGTGGCTGGGTGAGGACATATGGCCCATCACAGTTTGCTCTTCCTCACCCCAGGACACTAAAGGCTGATTTGTTTTTCCTCAGGGCTGGCTCCCATCTATCCATATGTCTTCATCTTATTCTTCTTAATTTAGCTAGTGGCTGTGCCTTCTGTTTTCCTTGAATTAAAGAAATAAAATAAAAGAACTAGCTGTCATTACATGCCTTCATTCCTACCTTTAACGACG